CAGCACTGGGGCAGTTCTTCCATGCTTCAAGGAGCAAAGCTGCTCCAGAGTTTTGCCCTTGCACTTCTACCACACACAACCATTATTGAGCACTACTGTTGACAACTAACTGTTTCAACTCAACTATACATGCACTAGTCTTTGGTAGTAAAACACCACTGAAATAAGTTTCATGAACAGTTAAGACTTACCATCTTATTAGCAACTATAACTGATTTCCAAAACACATGAATCTCTTCTACAGAGACGAAGACATGAATGCAAACACAATAGATTCAGAAGATCTGAGAGATGAAGGAATTGAGGGAGTTTAGCCTGGAGGACAGGTGGCTGAGGTGAGGCCTCATCGTTCTGCAGCCACCTGAAAGAAGGCTGCAGTGAGGATGGTGCTGATCTCTTTTCCCAGGTGACAAGGAATAGGACACTTGGAAGCAGCATAGAATTGAGACAGGGAGGTCTAGAGGAGATATCAGGACGGATTTCTTCACAGGAAGAGTGCTCTAATGTGCTCTAGCCACTAATGGGTGTTCACTTCATTGGGATCAGATTTGACTTCCTCAGATACAACTCCCATGAGATGTGGGTGGTGTGGTTACCACAGAGCACTACAAATCTTGGGTTACTGACATTATATGCAGGGGCAGCCTGCCTCCGCTTTACGACCACACAAGAAATGGACCATTAAACGCTTTAAAATGGAGAGAGTAACTGGCTCCCCTTTTATCTTCAACTACTCTTGCTATTAGTTGAAAGCTTAAGCGGAAAAATTCTGCTTGTAAGAAAATAGAGTATTTTAATGCAGTTTCTGAGTTTTCAAGTTCTCACTCTGTAGCAGTGTGCCAATGCAGAGATAGCAAAAGGGAATGTGTGGAGTTAACTCCATACACACAGCTCCTAACTTTATTTACAGACTGAACCGCAGAGGGCAGCAAACAAAAGAGAAGAGCTTTAGAGTTCATAACTCCACTACTGCTTGCTGGCTGCAGGAGGACGCTGCACTCCCTGTGCTACCACGATCAATACTCTCAGGCAATTGATTTCAATTGGCTTCAAGTCAGTTTTGCTGAAGGACTGCTTTCTATTATCTATCCTCCTGACAGAGTTGAAATGAACAAATCATTTGAACTTACACTGATTTTGCCTAGGGCTTAGAAAGTAACTCTCAATCTGCTGGAACTGAGGGCAAAAGCAGAATTCTTGTTTTTATGACTTGTCAGTCAAACCAAGTCATGCTTCTATACTCTAACCTAGAATTCAATAGGAAATTCTTTGTACTGAACAGACATATTAAAAAACAAACAACAACAAAAAAATAAAACAACACAAACAAACCTACAATTGAAATGGAACTCCACAGTTTTAACTGAATAGCACAAATATATCTCTCTGCTTTGAGTGGACACTGATGAAAGTAAATGCATTTATTGTCAATTTTACAGCCTTTATAGCCCTTCTTTCTGCTTCATTTCATTGAAGAAAAAGAGAAATGTAAAAATAGTTGTGTGAAGGTGTTATTTGACAAATACAAGGCTGAAACTACTAAAGAATAAATATTTAACTTCACATTCATATGAGTAAGATTAAATTATTATGCTACAACTAACTCATTTACTGGAAGAAAATACACATTTTAGGAAACAAATCCATGGCTTGGATACTACTAATGAAAACAAGAAGCATTTTATTGAATCACAGATGTTAGAGATGGAAACATACATGAGAACTTATGTAGCACCTTACCAGTACAGTACTGTGTTATTAGCAGAAATAGTAATGTTTTATGGGAGAAGAAGGAACTGCCATTGCATTCAACAGGCTAAGGTAATATTTAAAAATAAAAAGAGCTGTTGTCTTTATTTATTTTTTTTTTAGTTAATAGGGTTGAAATTTTTATTTTCTACACCATAAGTCCCTTGTTTCTGTAGATGTTTTAAGCTCTAACATGTTCAACATAATAAAAAAACCCATCAATTTCCTGCTTAATGACAGCAGGCTGCAATGTGATACTACAGCTTGAAATTAGAGTCATCTTTTCATGACCATAGCAAAGACAACCATCACTCTCTAACAGATCTATTCATTTAATGCTTATTACTAGGCCATTTATTTTAGACTTATTATTTTTCATGTTCTTTTCTTCTACTGGATGAATAATCAGAGAATTATATTTACCATTAAATATTAGTCTTATACAGAATCTCATTTTATTATATTATTCCATTCTAAATTAATCACAGCTGTAATATCTGCATCAGTAATGGGAAACCTAATCTTTCACCTTAATCTACCCTATATGAAAGATAGTTATACATCTTGCTTTATTTATTGCAGAGCAGTTCACAACATAGATGCAATGCAGATATGGAAAACATTTAATTTCAGCAAAAAATTTTTAAGAGTAAGAATTGGAATGTTGAAGTATCTGAAGTTTTTTGGTTTTTTTTTTGGTAAAAGGGCAAGAGTTTTTAATTCAGATGTTACAAGTGTCCAACTTTGCAACTATATCTATCTTTATCTTCCCTATTTTGTGTAATATTTTAATAAAATAGGAATAATTTCATAGACATTAAGAATCAAAGTACTTAGAGATGATGAAAATGAAAGACCTAACTCATGCAGTACTAACACAGATGAGGATTTGGAATGTTCACCTGAATCTGGAACTAATACAATAATCTCACATGTCAGCTTTTCCTAGCACAGAAAAATCCTTTGGCCTACTCTGCTGATCATCTTTTCATGAGTCAGGAGTTGTATTTCCCACATCTGATTTGAGGAACATGAGAAAAGCAAATGCTTCAATGAAATCACTTCCAGAGCAGTGATAGCTTGCTCTACTTCAAGTGTTTTTTTAAAATCAGTTAATAGCTACACTACTGTCAGCATTATTTTCATGTCTTGTATTCTGCAGTAACTCCCATTTTCCAGGCTTTCACAATTCTGAATCACACATAAACAAAGAATCTCTCAGTTCTGTCCATGAATATTATTCCCTCAATTTTTTAGCTTTATTCTACAAGGAGACATTTCCTTAAATTCACAATAGCTACTAAGCTTCAGATGGCAAAGTCTGATTTTTTTCTCGGCTGAAGCAAATAAGCAAGGCTTTTCTGCATGAAAATATTACAAGCTTTAAATACTTTAAAGCTCAAAATCCAACCTCTTGATTGAGACACCAAAAATGCACAAGTGTAAAAAAATAATAATAATAAAAAAAAGCACCAGAAACAGTCAGCAAAGCTTGCTTTTGTGTCATTTCATTACTTCTTCAAAACTGAAAAATTGTATCTATGATTGCATTGATCAGCACTGCATTTCTTACATGAACTTTTTTTTTTCATGCTACATTGGCAGAAAATATAGTTTACTATAAAAGTACAACCGTTCTTGAATCATTCTGAAATATTCTTATTTTAAACTTTAGCTTGCTAAAATTCTTTGGCATTGGCAAAGTTGGCAGGTGGCCTCAGTGTACAGTGCTGCTTCAGTGCAACTTAACAATAAATTCTAAATCCCATGTAATTAGTTTGATTAATTAGCAGCCCACACAGAAATGCCAACATCTTCTACAAAAAAATGCACTGGTTCTGCAAGAGCTGAATTTCACAGAAACACACCTATTTCCTAGCTAAAAAAAGTTATACTCCCACAAAAACACGAGGGAAAGGTTCTTAGTACAGGCTGTTTCACACTGTTGAATATCATGTATTCTGGAATTAAATTATTTGAATAATTTACGTTATATTAGAGAATTATATTAGAGAAACAAATCCTACAAACAAGCATGCAATGCAACCATGTACAAACAAATAATAACCCTGTATCCATTATTTAAGATCTTTGGAAAATGGATCCCCTCAGCTGTTCCAATCTCAAGGTAAAAGCCCAAAAAACAAAATACTGCCATCATAACATGTCTATTTTCCTAAAATAATGAGATAGCACAAAAGAAAATTAGACTGGCTGGGCAAATGCGTCATTTTGCATACATCAATCTTAACTTTATCAGACATGCTTATAAATAATCCCACAACTTCAATAATTATTCAGAAAGCAGGAATAAGGACCTCAAATTACATGTTCACAGACATTCAGTACTCATGAGTAATTGAGACTGGAAAGACCCTTCAGAGGTCCCCCAATCCAACCTCCTGCTGAAAGCAGGTCTAACCAGATCATGTTGCTCAGAACAGTGTCCAGGTGATTCTTAAAAACCTCCAGAAACTGAGGTTCCACAGCCTGTCTGGGCTATCTTTACAGGTGTTTGACTAGAATCTGCTTAGGCATAACCTTAGCCAGACCTTGAAAATACAAATAATTTATTTTTATGCATTAGTTAATTAGAATACACATAGAACCACAGAACCATAGAATTGTTTGAGTTTGAAGACACCTCTAGTGGTCATCTGGTCCAAGTCTCCTGCAATGAACAGGAATACCTACAAGTAGATCAGGATGCTCAGAGCCCTGTCCTGCCTGACCCTGAATGTCTCCAGGGATGTTGGCATCCACCCCCTTTCTGGGCAACCTGTTCTGGTGCCACACTATCCTTATTGTAAACAACTTTTTCCTTACATCCAATATAAATCTCCCCTGTTTTATTTTGAAACTATTTCCCCTTGTGCTATCACAGACCCTGCAAAAGAGTCTGTCCCCATATGTGTTGTTATTACGTCTGAAAATGAGAGCTGGGTATGTATGCCAGCCAATTAGAAAAAGCAGCTTCCATTAATTCACAGTTCTACTCGTCATCCATTTCATTTGCACACTGGTTCTTTGAGTTCTTGGAAATACCAGATTCTAAGTTTAGCAAATAAAGCAAACATATTTTCAGAAAATCAGGAAACAGCAATGAGAAATTGCTGTAAAATTATATTTGAAAAAGACTTTTGATGTTAATCTGAGCAGTTATAATCACTAATAAACAATAGAAAGATGACATTTCACCAAATTTCTTACTATGTATCACTATTTATCACTGTTTCATTTATGCCTCTTACCGGCCTTTCGTGTTCAAGGATTGATGACTTTCCTGGCTCATACTCAAAAATGCTTCTTGGTTCTGAGCGGAACTTGCGAGTATCTACTTTTCTGTCAGGAGGATCCCAGTCATTTCTAAATAACAAATAAGAGCAGTTGAGTTCATTGACCATCAACCTCTTCTGCTTTACAGCACAATGGGAGATGCACACAAAACCAAGTGAATTTCAGCACGGTTTCACTTTCCAGCTTTCAGCTCTGAAATGTCTGGACTAGCGCCCCATCTTCACTTGCTTACAGCAGGTATATGTAGTGCAGTAGGAAAAGCATAGTTATGTCTAGCCTATGGGATTGTTCATCCTTTTGTTTTAAATGGTTAAACAACTTGAAAACTATTCTGAAATACTGTGAGAAAAAACCACAGTATGCCTTCTCAGATTGCAAATACACTATATGCTTATGCAGAACTCACTATTTGCTACACTACATAATGTTCATAATGGTAGATATTTTTATCATTGCACAACATGACAGTCCGTATTGAAAAGTAACAGAATTTTCCAAGAAAAAAATAAAATTTAACTTTACTATTACTACTGTGTTGTTTTTTTTTTTCAGTCATTTATCACATTGTTTTAATAGCTACCTGCACATTTTGGAGAGATATTTAGGTAGTTCCTATCACAATCAGTCCCTATCACTTCTCATGGCATTTTTGTAGTCACTACCCATATTGCATTTGGAATAATTTTTGCTCTGGGGCAAATGATCCATTTGTAACTCTCAGAACGGAGGAAGGAAAAAAGAAATCCCATATGTATGCCTGCATTTACAGTAAGAAATCATATGCTCTGATTAAATTCTGTCAAGCTTTCTGCTGTGACTTAGCTTGATGTGGCCTGATCTAATAAGGCACATCACAAGCCTTAAAAAAGTGCGTGGGGTTGCTTTTGTTTACAGTGCAACTTCTGGAAAAAAGATAATCTGTTTATAAATTCCCTACCTTCCAAGGGTAATAGTTCCATATGGCTCTTTACCATGCATGCTCACAAGGGAAAAACTACAGTTCCAGAACAGAAAACGTTGTCTTTTTCAGAACAGGAAAATGGAAATCAAGTTGCATTATATTTCAAGTCACTTCGAAGAAAAAAAGGACGCCACTGAAATTCTGGTTCACACTCAATTCACTTTCATTTACAATGTCTAGCTTTTAATCCCTTATAGGCTATATTTTTGAGCCCAACTCTTACTGGGAAACATATCCTGGCTCCCAGCTATAAGACCGTGATACATTTAGACCTAAGCCTCTTATGTGAGATTTTAAATGCTCATACTTTATAGGCAATTAAAGAAAGTCCCAGTGGCATGAAAAGATTGATGAGCTATAGCTGTCAGCAGCAGGCAAAGCATAACTAACGTGTTTGGCATCCCTTGGCCTCGAGACCTTAGATTTCCAATGCCTGTCTTATCATGTAGGAGATTTAAAAAGGAGCTGAACATCCAAATTAAGTGCTGAAGCAGTTATTTTCAAGCTTGACAAAAGGAATTGTAACAGGCCTCAGCTTCTGTGACCAAGGCATTTGGCCTAGCACAGGATGATGACTCACAGAACCTCAGAGATCAAGGCTAAGCAGATGTACATTTTAGAGTTTTGCTAACAAAAACCTGTGCTTCTGTATGCCTTGCTAGCAAGATTCAAACCCCTTGGCCTTTGGGAGGCAGTCCATCACTAGGCCCTATCCTCTGCTCTTGGAAACCTGTCTTCAACAACAGGAGTCGTCAAAATCAAGAAAATCACTCAGCAATATGATTTTCATCTGTTGGGTTACCTTTTGAATTGCAACTACCTGCCAATTTTACAAAAAGCTATAACCCACAGCCTTAATTTTTAGCCCTTACTGTCACGTCGTGTTCTGTATCTGCTATTTTTTTCCTTCACCTCTATCTGGAAATTGGATTAATGTGTGTACATACCAACAAGAGTTTTTGAAAACACAGCAACTTACTTTTCTGGTACAGACCTTTCCCGCAGACGATGCGGAGGGACTGGGGGTGGCACATGTGGGGGTGGTAAAGGAGATGAGACCTTAAAGGCATCAGAGCTGCTGTCAGAAGCACTTTTAGACAACGGTCTGTATGTCTGTGTCTTTGCAGCTGGGTGTGCCTGAGCAGAGAAGGATGGACTGTAGCCACCTAATATAAAGCAAAAACAGAAATAGTCCCAATGTGAGAAAGAATTGGAATAAAATAAAGCACGGAATGCTACAAGAATCCACAGTTTATAAAGCTGCAAGGTTGTGAAAATGTGCAAACATTTTTGTAATATATATATGTATTTTTTATTTTTAAAAGTATATAGCTAGGAATTAAGTAATCCATGGTAATGCTTTTCAAATATTTGTATAAAACTACAATCACACAGGAGAACTACAGTAAAGGTGAAAGAAATTAATGATTATTTGTTTTTGAGGAGGAGGGAGAAGTTAATGGCTGTATGTATCTATCAGGGCTGTTAATGACAACCTGTTATTAACCCCAGGGCTCATCCTTGGTCTCTGTCTTTGTACGTCCAGATTGAGGAGGACAGGTAGGAAATGCACAATCATTACGTAGTCTGAGTAATTACTGTTAGTTTGGAACAACCGTACAGTCAAGTATCTTGCATAGGATCATAGGTGTACATGATCATGAACAACTTGCACACACAAATACTCTCCATATTACACAAAAAGACTGTGTGAGAGCGCACAGAATGCAAAACAAACACAGACATGGAAGAACTATGAATAGCATTTTTTGACAAGGCACTTTGGTTTTCTGCAGATAGTGTATTCACACTTCCAATTTTGGTTCTATTAAGTAATTTTACCACATAGCTATCATCTTCTGAAAGACACAGGAATTATATATCTATTACATATGTCTTTCTTGTGGTTAAACAGCACCAGCACCAATGCCTATAGTAAGAATGAATGAAAAGAGAAGCATCTTTATTAGGCACTCAGGGTGTATTTTAAGACTTATTGTCTTCCTATATATGTAATTAGTATCTGTACTTTCACACAGTAGGTCTCTCCTCGTTTTGATTAGGAAAGGCTATGTTGCTTACATTCACAAGTGAAAATAAATGCAGTGTAATCAGAAACTACAGTATTACAATGTATCCCATCTGCAGTAATAGAGGCCCACAGCTGTAATACATCAGCAAGAATGAAAACAAAATTAAACTTAGTTTCATTTGGGAAAAAAGGCCCGAAAAAAACACCAACTGAGATCAAGCATGACAATAAAAAGATGACAAAAAGTGTTTATTAAAAAAGCAAGCACAAATAGTTAATTACTCCTGTTACTTGCTGACATTAACAAAAGAGCTGTTTGGAAGTGAGGAAATAACTCCTACCAGTACTGTATGAATATGCAGTATTATACATGTCTGTGTCGTCATCTACAAAAAGAAATATACATGTTACAGTAATGCAGTATGTGCTCGTTTATCACAGCAGCACAGCTTTCTTTTTGGAAATACAAACAGGCAATCAAGCGCTGTACTACTTTTCCTCATCTCTCGTGGGTGTTTTCTGAATTCTTTTTTTTCCCATTACACTTACCATAAAATATTTTTGCCATTTTATTAGCAAAATGTACCTTCTTGTCATGACACCTGTATTACATACTACTGGCTAGCACGAAACATTAAGTTACAGCTGTTTATCTGCTCTTCTCCCATCTCTACCTCTACCGAGAGCTTTGCTCTCCTCTTATTAGATACTACTAAATCCTCCTACCATGAAAATCAAACTCAAATATTTACCATGTGACTAGTGTTCAGGACAGATCTAAAAAGCCATAATTGTCTTGCTTACATTTCTTATTTTCCCACTAACAATCTGTTTGACCATGCTAAATACGAGTCCTACCTCAGCAGAATAAGGTCTCTTTCCTTCATGAGGGAAAATGAACATGACTGTAGTTTATGCTGTTCCTTGGTGACAATCATGACAAAAGAAGTTAACTCTAAAGCTATTAATATCACCAAAGCTCTGTTTCAGCAAAACAAATAACACATTATATGGAAAAAATGCAATTCAAACAGAAAATGTATCCTCAAAACAGCCTGCATTGTTCTAACATGCAAACTGTCCAAAAATAAGGTGGTAAGTCAAGGGACTTCCAGTGGCCAATTTCTGATCCCTCACACCAGAGATGAGGATTGCTTCACTGAGTTCCATAATGACACAGAATCACATTGTTTCCATGCTTACTTTGCTCACTTTAATATATATATATTTTTTTTTAGTAAAACAAAATAAACCCAATATAAGTAGACAGCCTCTAGCTGTCTCTCCGCATCAGAATCTACCATCCAGTTCAGCCTTTTAATTCGATTCATTGTCTCACACTTGGTGAACATTTGCATTTTCATATGGCAGCTAATCAAAATGCAGAAAAGAGTGCTTTTTAATACCACTGACAAGTACACAGCTAAGACAACAGCATACTTACCAGGCTTATGTACCATATGGATTTGCTTGAACATTGTCTTGTACCAATCCTTTGGCCTGTCAACTGTCTAAATAAAATATATTTTTAAACAATTAACAAGGAATTAAAAATAATAAAGAAATAAAAATATCTATGTGGACAGATAAGACATTTAATGTTATTCTGGACATAGATTTAGATTTATCCTTCTTTGTCCCCTATTCAGTATAATCATTTTCATCTACTTCAAGTGGTGCATTTTGCCATCTCATCTAGGAATCCCTGTAACAAATTCTGGAAGGCATTTAAGATTGACTCAGTTTGGGACTTCAATCTTGGAGAATACAATGCTTAGGAACACTGGAAGTGATGCCAGATCAAGAGTTATCTTCTTAGAGCCCTATATTTGACAAAGATGAATGCTGGGTACTACGCAGGAAATACAAACAACTTGCCAATTACCAGTTTGTAAGAAGGGCTTCTTTTGAACTCCTAGCTATTTTCAACATACATTATCTTCAAAACTTATTTACTAAATAGTGCATATCTACTTTGGAATACAACTGAGAAAAGAATTAAGGCAAAAATTATGTTTGGTAAACAAACAGCATTTATGCAGTTTTAAATTTCCCTTTCCAGGCAACTTATTCTTCTATTTCAAGAAGTGATAAAGAAGTGAACACAGTGTACCTTTTAATATCACTCATTAAATTGCACTTGTATTTTTTACAAAAAACTACAGTCTCATATTTTCTAGTCTCTCCTGATGCTAACTTTTGCTTGTTTCTACTTATTTTATCCCTTACTCTTTTGTATTTCCTATTTTTGTCTTAACTTGCTTTGAGACACCATTTCAGAAAGCAACAAAAAAGGCAAACACTTTTTTAGTATTATTCTCTTTGATCATGAATCTTTACATGCTCCATAGCGATCAGAAAAGCAAAATGTTTAATGAATGTAATGAATCACACTTTTGCCTTAAATGCTTTATGAAGTTACTGTACATAATTAAACAGTTAACTTTGGTGAACTATGCAGAAAACAATCACTTGTTTGAAGAATGAACATCAGTTCTCATGAAATTGCTGCTAGATGATACTCCTCATCAGTACAATTCTGCAGTGATCCATGCTGCCACAACTGCTTCTGTGTATTGGGCCAAGAAGGGTTTTCAAAAGAGCTTGAATCAGTGGCAGGGGAATAGATAGGAAACAATGCAAAAGCACTACTATTGTGAACCTGCTGTTTGTCAAGAGACAAAGATGAACTGATATCTCTTTGCCAGGCCTTCCTAATCTGTCAGGTGCTCCACACATTTACAGGAGGTTCCACACAGAGAGTAGGTATGGAGAAGCTGACATGTAAGCACAGAAGCAGCTCTTCCAATACCTTTTTGTATGTTTGATCTTTTCAATCCCATCATCCCCACCCCATCCCAGACTCTGAGGTTCACAGCATCAGCCAATGATTTGGTTTTATGTTGTTTATGCTTATGCCAGATAGGACTAGTTGAGGAATTGAATAAATTAGTTTTAAATTACACAGTCTCACTTTATATTCTCTAATTGCCCATGCCAACCCTTGTTTGAGGAATTAGCAGTATTCATAGCCACCGAGTCACTCAGATGCATACAGTTGTTGCAATTAAAGGTTGGGAACATGTTATCACCACATGTGAGTGAACAATCAGACAAATAGCTGATTGTGAAATGAGGAGGACCTAAGAGGTGTCTGCAATTGGTACCCAGAACACTCCATAATCACTTCAGTATTCAAATAATCCATCAGGAAGTATATGATTAAAGGAGGCACTTATGACTTTCAGTGGACCTTCTGAGTGGGGCACTTCTTTTTCCTAGCTGACATGCTACATCAGTAAGTACAGACAAAATATATGATTGGACTTCATTTTTTTCATTCTATTCAATAGAGGTCTTCTCAGCATACGGATTAATTTTGGAAGAAATGAAGCCAATTATTTTTTGATAGTCTCTAACAGTGCAGTCATATTGCTTTCCAAGATTTTTTTCCCCCCTTTTCTTCCCCTTTCCTAGATCCTGTCAGTGGTAAAGTCTAGTGCTGCCATTTGACTGAAAACTTTTTTGCCCTCTTTTCCAAAGACTTCATTTTTAATGCCTTGGAATGTCATCACCTTTGGGGCAGGGCTTGGCACAGAGGTAGAACTCAACAAGCTGAGTTTTCAGGCTTCAGGTTTTTTGCACTTGCTGGAGATGACAGGAGCTACAGTAGTGCAGAGGTAACATCCTACCATGGGATAGGAGAGCTGTACAGCAACCCTTCCCTTTTCAGAACCTTTGGACCAAAGGTTTGCAGGAATATAAAGTGAAGAGAACATCTCTGCTTTCCTTGGCTAAGCAGCTGTCACTAACCATCTTCCAAGAGGAAATACAGACTTGCAGGAAACCAGCACAATGAAATCTGGAATACAGACACTCCAAGATTCTTATTTACAAGCTTCCTTTTTGCTTCTAACAGTAGCACAGTATTTGGGAATACAATACATATGTTATCTATCACCTCTGAATCTCCAGTTACTGCTTTTTAAATAGAATATGGCTGTTTTCATACAGATGGAAAAATGAGAAACTTTTAAACACTGGGTGCAACCATAAGCTCAATGAATTTGAAACCTTTTTTTCCTTCTGATGGTGTAAGTCTGAACCTTCTAAGAGAAGATTCCTGTTTGGATTGACTACTGACATTGAAGAGAAAACAGGTGCTACACACTACCTTCTGCTCCTGGGAAGTGCAGTTAGAGCACTTTTGCATATTTCTGCACAGTGCTGCACTTCTGTGAGATGCCAAAGTGCAGCATATTTGAGTCTTTTGCTGACAACTCTATTGCCTTTGTTCTCACATGACTGGAGTACACTGGGTTCAAATATATCTGTATACATTTAAAATGTAATCTCAAATCAATATGCTGAAAACTGAAAACTGCCTCACTTCCAGCTAGGTCTTAAAGAAGCAAAGTAAGGAGACAAAGTGGCATACGAGGCAGACGCACTCACACAAGCTGGCATAATCTTTTAACTCACGTCTCATCATCAGAATCGGCTCTACAATTCAAAGCTTAAAAAGACGCAAGACATTTTTAAATTGAAACAATCAAAAATGAAGAGCAAATCCAGCTGAGAAATGCCATAATTCAAATCACATTTTCAGGAGAGTATCTCAGAGAAGCAGACCAATCTGAAAGTTAAATATAGGATGGCAGATTGCCAACTCTGTTAAGCATACTTGAGGGGGATTTCTGTTATACCCTTATATAACTAATATTCACGCTATTAGACCGATCTGCTATTTAAAAAAAAGGACAAAAATAATAACTTTCTCCCATGCACAACAAAGGGACATTCTTAGTTAAAGAAGGGGTAGGAACCTAGAGCATTAATGCAAAGAAATTGATTCATTTTTTAAACCTTGATTGTATTCCTTTCTATGTCAAAAATAAAGAAATGCCAGTTTCCCCCCATTCTTAACAAAATTGTCCCCATCTTACCACTCATTCTGAATTTCTCCTACTGCTTTTTTCCATCAGTTCTTGCTCTTCCCCCTAATTTTTCAATCCACTGAAGCAATTCCTGGCGATTACAACACAGCCCCATAAGTCAGCACTGGCAGAGAGGATATATCCAATGGCTGCTACATCCTTGTACCTCACAAAGACTTCACCTGCAAGGGCTCTGCTGCCTTCATCCTGGCTCCCACTCTTCTTTCTCTCAGTCTAGCACAGCACTGCTTCCAGCAGGGAAGGCCAGTAAGCACTTCCTCTACAGACCCAGCACAGCTGCCACTGCGCTCTCTGGACCAGCCAGAAGAGGCTGCCCTGACAGCAGAATGGAAAGAATGCTTCAGCAGAGAGAAAACAAACCTTCTCAGTCTGACATCCTGGGCCACTCTAGCCAGGGACTAGTGGCAGATGATAGGAACTGAGCCAGTCTCAATGAAGGGGTTTCTACTCTATTCACCTACATGTCATCCAGGGGCATAGAGATCATGTTTTACATGTGTGCAAAAATACAACTTTCTTAGATTACTGACCGAATGAAACTACATTATACTGATCAAGTAAAAACCACTGCTCCTCAGAATGCAGGAGTGTGAGATTTATATGTTGTACATACACAGATACAGATGTATACTTGTACACATGCATAAATACAGTACATATACACTTTATTTTACTAATAACAAAGCAAACACAATTATTTCACATCTCCAGAAGGGAATACAAGAGAAGAGAGACAAAATTTTGATTAGTTCTAATTAAACCAGAAACATCAAGTTGCCCAATTACGTTCCCATCAGCATTCTCTTTTTCTGTCAACGCACAATATTATATTCATGAGCTGCCTGATTGCGCACACAGTATTCCACATTATATAAGAGTAGAAGAATGTGAAAAACCCATTACCAACAATCAATTCATTGTATGAGTTCATACGCAGATTCCCCAGAATTTCCTACCGTTCTAATTGCTGTAGGGATTCCAGATTCATCCACTGGGCCAATCCCTGCATAATGTGGAGCTTTAATGACTGTAATTTTTTTTTCTTCCTCTAAGGATTTACAGATTGGTATTGTACTGGTGGTGGTGCTGCTGCCAACATGTTGCGAGTATGTCTCTGTGGACTCTGTAAAGATAACATGAGAGGATAATATATAACAACACAATAATCATTCTGGGCAATTGTAACACACTGCCCAATTTCACTGTGGTTTGCAAAGATGGATAATAATTTTGAGAAACATATTCATATGTAACACTTCATATGTGTTGGGGCTGAACCATAATCTTATTTATGGCTATCTAGCTTAGATTTTGGTAGATTAGATTGCAGTCACTGTTTTTGCTGCAACTTGCTTGGGAAAAAAAAAAAAAGAAAAAACAAAAAACAAAAAAGAAAAACCCCACAAATCTAGCAAAATATACTGAGAAATAATAGGAGTAAAACCTTGTTGCTGTAAAACGAAATTGCATCTTACCTATCCATCCTTTGAAATCATGACAGAATTTCAAACTTCCCCTTCACAAAATTTAGCAGAATATATTATAATACATATATAGAAAACTACCATTCTGTCAGCACAGCATCAGATTTCAAACAGATCTCCAGAACAATCTATGTAAGATGTGTTTAGAAACAAAGATTAAAAAAAAAAAAAAAACAAAAAAAAAACCAAAGCAAATTTCTGTGTGTAATTTTCACCCTTCAGGTTACGTTGGTCTGTTTAAATATCACTTTACATCATCCAGAGAATTGGCACTCAGCACTCAGAGCACCCTGATGATGCACTCATTTTCAGTGAATCTACAGACTGCTTTGGTTCACGGTCATTGGCAATATTCCTAGCTCTCTCCCCCAAAATCTTCCTTGAAAATTAAATAATATGTCACTATTACCATCTCTCTATAAAATCCAGAGAGAGCAATTCATTTAATAAAAAACGAAACAAACCAAAACCAAAAAAACCCCACCCATCTCAATGCTGGGATGGATCACATGACAATTGTTGCTGCATGTAGGAAGAAGAGCCCTGCTCCTACAGGCAGTATGTTTCAGTAAATCAGAGAGCTGCTATGACAAAGTGAGGTTTTTTGTACTGTGCAAGCACAGGTGCAGTGCCTGCAAGACATGTCTACTGCAGGGTAAATGAATGGCAGGAATACAAATAAACATTCTGACACTGCTGGTGAAGATTATGATTAAACATGATTATCCTTAAGCAAAATAGTTGAATTGTAATATAAATCAGTGAAAGAAGCTCTGGTGACTGAAAGTGCTAATTTTAATTTGAATGTTTTGCCCATTGCTACTGCTGAGATTTGGCATGACTGCTTCAGCTGTTTACTCAAGTCTGAAGTCCTGCAAATAATCCAGTGCTACACATATATGGCGAGGGGCAACTCTACGTGGCACATGTCTAAATATTGGGCCTTTTTCCCAAAATGCACAATACTAAATTTAGAAAACATTTGGTATTTGATCCCTCGTTCTTTGTAGATGGCCTCAAACTAAGGCCATCAGTGGGATTTTATGTGAGCAAGGAGAATGAAATCGGATTGTTACTGTGGAAAACAAAACTTAAGCATCATACAAGAGTAAAAATCATGGGAAAACACATTCCTGGTATATCCAAAACAATATCAACATACTTTAAGTTCAACAAACTGTAAGCAATCAAAGGACATAGCACTTGAGTAAATGGAATAAACCCATGTGTGCAGTTTTTTGCATCTATCACTAAGACCTGGATAGCAGCAGTTCTCTAAGTTGTAAGTCTCAGTGCCAGAAGTGCCACCTAATTTCTCTGCATGCACAATAAAAAAGTAAACTTCTGGATCATAATCAGATTGTTTTACATGTATACTCTTATCTGAATCTGCAAACTCTGGCAGAAAAAGAAGCAAGAAAACGATCGTACTGGCAAAACTAGATTATACTGTCAGAGCTCCTCTGTGAGGCTAATCATGCAAGTATTTAAGGAAAAAAAACAACTCAACAATGACCTACAAAAGTACATAAGTAAATTATAAATTGAGATGGCTTGAGGTGTTTAAAAGCTCAGGGCCCCCCCTTTGTTGGCAGTATTTCAACTGAAGCTTGTAGAGGTTGTGAGGAGAAGCAATGCACAAAACTGGTCTTTAGTTTCTTAAAGAGAGCAAAAGGAAACAGGCTCTGCAGGTTGAGCTGTTTCTATATGTGCTCCCTTTTCCTCAGGAAAGCAAGTGGGAAAGTGGCAAGAGGTCACTCTCATAAACATAAGGACAAGTAATAAAACTTAAAAGTAACTCCAGTTCAGGAACTATTACATGTAAAAGTAAATTCTATTATCTTTTGCATTTACTTCCTAAGGAGATGAATAGACAATACCTGCATTATGGATGTTATGCCCTTTGCCATTGTTTGCAATTTTGGCCACACAAATTGGAATATGTTGTGTAATGTATAAAGGCTTACCCATCATCCTGCCATGCTGCATGATAACAAGGTTGGAATTGAGAGAAGCTGGTGGAGAGTAAGCGGAAGAAGGGGAAAAAGGCCTTTGAAAGTGACTCACTGGGCTGGCAGCAGTGCCAGAGTTCCCATTCACTGTGATCTGAGCCTGAGAGAGACAAAACAATATCCCATTAAATGACACACAAAGCCCTCTGAATGCCATCCCAAACAAAAAGTAATGTAAGACTGTCATCCACGCAACAATTACCACTTGTCAGGTATCATTATGGCATCTGCATTCTCTGAAATACAAAACACATCACCTGTGGAGCAGAACGTGTTCCTTTTATACACCTTGTATACGTACACACCTTGCACCTCCCCCCTTTGCTCCTTGTATGTGCAGCCTGTGAAGCATGATGATGGGAGGTGGCAGATGGGGCAGAGTCTAGGCAATAAAACTGAACTGCACAAACAAGATCTGACGTCAGTATAAAATGGAGATGGCAATAAAAATTCCTCTCATCACGTGACAAAGGCTGCCTGCTGTAGATCACTCACTCCAAAAAACACGGAATCATAGAATCATAGAATTGCTCAGGTCGGAAAAGACCTTAAAGAACATCAAAGTCCAACCATGACCTAACCATACTACCCTAACTAACAACCCTCCACTAAATAATGTCCCTGAGCACCACATACAAATGGTTTTTAAACACATCCAGGGATGGTGACTCAACCACCTCCCTGGGGAGCCAATTCCAGTGCTTAACAACCCTTTCTGTAAAGAAGTTTTTCCTGATGTCCAACCTAAACTTACCCTGGCACAACTTGAGGAATAATAATGTTTCCCATGATCCACATGCACCACTCCTATTATATTAATGATACTTCTGAGCAGGCTGAATGGAAAAGTCTTATTACAAGTAGCTAAATTGAGTGAGCCATAGCTTCATTAAAAATACAGTTTGGAATCCCTGCACCTGGGCTGTAATACTTCTATGGGGAGCATTGAAGGAATCAGACCAGAGATACCAAGAAAGCATATGGAGTGAAATAAGAGAGGGAAGCTTTCTATCACATCTCTTCAAGTACATCTCTGTTTTAAATCTTAACAAAATCATGAGTGCTATAACCTGCTCAGTTTAATTTAACTAAAGAGAAGATCTAAAACAACATAAGCATTCAAAGTGAGGCTCTTTGAACACTGTAAATGTAAAACAGGAGACTATTTAAAGCTGCAAAGCGTAAGTAAATCCCATATTAAAAGACATATTATTATTGCATTTAAAAATGAAATGGTTCATGACCTCTTGTATAGATGCATGTTTTGGAGACTAGTAATTTGAATTTTTCAAACATCTCAGCCCCCGGTAGCTAGTTGAGTGAAACCAAATGAATTTCTGTAAAAGTATCATGAAAACATGATGTACAGAAGTAGCTGATGGACATCAGTCACAAGCGCAAATGTGGAATGTCCAAATATGACATTTCTGAATTTGGTTTTAGAGAGGATGGCAGCTCAAATAGTACAATTTCTTAGTTCTTAATGATGTTCCCTATAAAGAAAGTTTCCATTGTGGACACTACTGAATTTATGTATCTGAAGCATCTTGCACTGCTGGGAAAGTTCATTATAGGTCTATTTTGAGAAGTTTCAAGTTGTTTTTGATACTGATGCTGTTTCTTTTTGGGGGATCAGCTATAAAATCTTTACTCCCGAGCTCTCACTAAGGGCCTCAAGAATAAACAGATCTCCTCAAATTGGAAATGTTTTTGAAAGTGTGGCTCCAGCTTATGTGGTGGATGGCACACCCCTATGCTGCTTTTATTGTTCTCTCAGTGGTTTTCATCAACACAGTGAATCAATGTCTTCTTTGAGAATGAAGATTATTCAAGTATCATTACAGCCACTAGCAGCATGTTTGCTTGTATGCATGTGCCACCAGCTTGTCTCTCATCTTCTCATTTCATAGATAAGTGCACAGCCATCTAGCCCTCCTCTACAAAGGAATGAAAACAAAGATCTTTTGCAATGCAGAGGTCTGCCTTGACAGTAGTTTAATCTCGCTATGGGGCACTTTGGATTGTTTAGGGAGCATTATCTTTTGGTGGGAGACTCATCCATTCTCTGTGTAAATTTAGTAGTGAAACATGTTCATTTGTCTAGTCATATCTAGAAAAGAAAGTGATGGCCAAGATAATAATAGATATCTCTACAGGGAAACTATTCAAAAAAGGAAAAAGGGAAGGATTGTTCGCTTTGTAAAACAAACATAGGGATTGTTTTTGATGCAAGTTAGAAGAAAATACAGATGCTCCAGGCTTTCTGTAACTCATCCTATGGTGATTGTGCCTTATTTACATACACCTCTCTATATTGATCATAGTATCTTTCATTACAACAACTGGACAGCATGCAGATTAACATCATTGACTCTTCTTAAAATTTTAGGTTTCAAAGATGTGTTAACAATCAGAGCATTCATATGCCTGATATTATTTTTTTAAACAGCATTCACTGAACTGACTACAGGTTATTGACTCTATCTGCATGTTTGGGCTCAACTACATTCTAGAAAACATATATGAAATGCAAAAAAAATTATACACTGTTCCTTTTCAGAATTTTAAGTGCTACATTTGGACTGGAAAATGATAGCATGCTGAAGTATTTGTACAAAGTTGAACTGCTGTTGTTACACAGTAAAACTTTGGTCTCAGAACATTTCTCAGTTTTGTAGTTCAGCAACAAATTGCTCACTCTAAATGAAAACTCTGTTCTGACTCATTTTGGTCATGTAAATAATCTCAAAAGAAATGAAAAGTGATCTGTATTTGACCTAAATTCTATAAATTCTGTCTACCCATATCTGAGTGTACTAAGGTACAGAATAGTGAACATATACACAAATCGCAATTGTATGCTGCTGTTTTCCTTGAGTTAGATAAGAGAAAAGTAACAGGACACTTGAATGCTAGAAACTTATTTCTGAAGTTCACTCCTGTAAGAAACAATGCTTAAGAGAGGGAATGGTCAGTTAAAGGAGAGAAAAACAGCTTCATGCAGTCAGTGGTCATGGCTGGGGGAAAAAACGTGTTAAGCATTGCCAACATTTACTACAAATTAACAGGTTATACTAATGAAATCTCTATGCTGCTATAAGCCAAAAAAATGGTGGCAGCCAACAGGCTACACCTCCACAAACCTGTAAGTTGCTAACAGTACTTTAAATGCATCTCTCCAAAATTTACAGATCACTTGCTTCCATTGCATTTGGAATGGATATTTATTGAATTTACTCTCATTTCTTGCAACCAAAATGTTTGATGCACCTTGGACAACAACATGGATGTGCAACAACTTCATACCATTTTCCTGTCTATTACCAAAACTGATATGCAAATTATTTGTTTAAACAACTGTTACAGAGCATACTTCAGACTGTGAATACAGGAAACTTAACAGAATACTTGTTTATGCAATGGTTTAACAGACAAGTTTGAATTCTTTTCCCCTTTGACAACCTGCAAACAAAATGGAGCAGGAAAAAAGGAAGGATAATTACATTGGAAGTGGCGGCAGTGTTGGTTAAGGTGGTGCCATCTGACACAGCAGACATCTGGCTCAAGGTTGGGGAAGGTGTTTCAGAGCAGTCAGTAGTATCATAGCTACAAGTCTGCAGCTCATCTAGAATGACTGTGGAGGACTCACTCGTGCGGGAGGAGCACTCACTCATGGCAGAATCTGTGCTTACAGAGGCTGTTTCATTCTTGTGGATAGTATTTTCAGAAGCTAGGAATGGGCATTTATATGAAAATTGTGAAAGGGCTGGGGTTTTATAAAAGCGTGAAAAATCATCAAGCGTTGGCAAAGAATATGGTACTAGATGGGTGCCACTGTCTGGTGAGAAAGAGGCTCTGTTAACTGGTACCACAGGAGGAGGAAGAGGCAGTGGAGAAGCTTCTGTTGTTGTTTGTCTGTGTGTCTGTGAAGCATTTACCTCCATCACAGGGGCAGTTACTTTCTGGTTTCCAAGCTGAGATTTGAGGAAAAAAAAAAATAAGAAAGAAACAGATTACCAAATGAATAAATTTTTTTCCCTTTGCCTCTTGTTGCGTGTAGGAGAATTACAAAAGTGTAAGTTTTTTCAGCAGCCCTAGGAAGTTCACATTCACATGGATTAGGAAATAGATCAACAACACTCTACATTAAAGTACGAAAACGTGAAGAAAATTAATGTATCGAATACTATTGGAAGCAATGCCAGAAACCGTAGTGCGTTGGGGATGAACATTCCATATATTCCACAATGTATTCCATAATTAATAACACTATTAAAAAAAAATGAGGCTAGAGAACATAATTTTCCTTTTGTTTATAAAAGGAAAAAGGCATATGCAAGTCTGATCTCCATTAATGTTGCTCCTTTTTTTTTTTTTTTTGGTCAAAATATAGGTATCAGTTTGAAATTAATATTAAGGTACAGATGGGTAGGACCACAAGCTAAAAAGTAGTGCTAGTATTGAATGTTCACATTACCTGTAAGATTGTCTAGTTATTTATTTTTGCCTCTTTTGATTGAATACATCTTCTCCACTGCCTCACTAATAAAAATGTTTGGAAGATCTTAGAATTTCCAAGCACTCTGGAAGCACCCTGTCAGCCTACTGGATAAGGTGTAAGTATAGCTGCCTTTTCAACATTAGAGAGCTATAGGATTGTTAGAGTATTGGATATAAATTTGAGGAAGGGTAAGGGTGGGGAACACAAGTACAGGACAGGGATGATTTAACACTGAAACAAAACACACTGCCTAGCTGGCTTCAGCATCATTCCTTAAAAGAACTTGGGAATATCCTCACTAGAGAGCTTCTGAGAATTACTACATTACAAACTTTATATTCTGATATTTCATATCAGACACAGGCACTGTGTTTGAAACTTTCCTGAACCTGGCTTTTTGTATCTGTAACTTGTTTTTGAATTAAAGATATGAGAAAAGCATGCTGGTACCCAACCTTTGGTAATTGTACAGTTTTTTGTATACTACATATCAGCCACAAATTATCCATCAGTTTTGGAAATATATCAAAATGCTGCCTACTTCAGCACAGAGCTGACAAGTTCTGGAATAGCTGCAGTGAAAGAACGTTTGAGATTTTGATTTATTTAAAACAAAGGGCACTGGGATGCCATATACAGCATTTACTAGTTTAAAAAGCAACATTTACTCACAAATACCAGATTGTTACTGATAACATTAGTATTTTTTTTCTGTGCTTGACATATGCAGATGTCTTTAATCATTTGAAAATGTTCTAAGTCATCAGATTAAAATGCCATTTTGGCATTTTAATCCACAATCTGAAACTATCTTTTAAAGCCTTTATAGAAGACTTAGAATGTAATTCAGATTACGCTACTTATAAGAGGTCAGTGGGGATCCAGTCCCATAATGATCTTGCTGAGATCAACTAAAAATTACAGAAATAATCTTACTGAGGTCAACAGGACCATCCCTCTGAATGAGCATTTCAGAAATGATTTTGAAGCACATCCAAGAGATACCCATCACTTCTTTCAAAGGGTTCAGAAGAACTGTTTGGCATTATTGGATCTATAGGGTACATAAAGATAGCCAGAACTTGCTGGCAAAATTAGAAGTTAAAACAGTAAGAAACAAAAGCCTCTAGTTGAACAGCTTAAAATTTAAACCTTATTCACAATAATGAAATCTACAGCATAAAAAATAAAAACAATTTTAAAAAAATCCATAGAGCAAGTCTGAAGGCTACATCTTATTTAGAAAAGTCAATTATTGAGTGGATGACTGTAAAAGGAAATACGGTTTTTAGAGATAATTATTTCGCCACTGGAAACTTCAAAAGAACAACAGAATACTATCAAGTTATCACAAAAAGCAATCATACACACATGCAAAACAGCTGCTTATACAGCAAAATTATCAGGGACTTAAGTTATCTGAATTTATGTACTCATATAAGACACAGTAATTTCACCCTTAGACACATAAAGGGAAAACAGAAGGATGCCTCATTACGGATTTCATCATCCAAGTCACAGTTCAGTATCTTCAGCAAAAGACATGAACCAAGAAATAAATGAGGCAAAGCCAGCATAATCAATAAACCTAGTAAGCTTTCTGGCTTCAGATGATTACCTGCATGCTTGAAGTAGGGATGGACAACACAAGGAAAGATATTCAGGGTGCATCCAGAGAGCAAGTGAAACTGAATTCTTAAAGAATTAAATACATTGTTCTTGGCAAATCATAGCTGCTTTCACTGAGGTACATTCTTAAGTAGAAGATAACATGGGTGGAAGGAATACAGCAATTCCAAATACTGATTCCCAACATGAAGATTTTCAGCTTTGTAGAATAAAATTGGAATATTCTAACTGACTCCAGAATTCTGTCATAGAGATAGTCATCACTCTGGGGCAGAGTGGATGAAATGGTGACTGAAAACAACAGTATTTAAAAAAAAAAACAAAAAAAACAAAAAACAAAAAACACAAAACAACAAAACAATAAAAAACTTGATCTCTCTCAACATGGAGTGTTGGTAAACACTAAATAACAGATATATTTAGCTACTACTAAATCCATATTTGCCATCACTGTGAAGAATATGAGAAAGACAAGGCTGAATGCATTTTAAAAAAACATCTTTTATGACCAGTTCCATCTGTTTAAGTTTGTTATTTTTATAGCCCAAGAAATGGAATAAGAAGTCAGGTGGATTACTGGCTGAACAATTCATTTTATCAATTAGAATGATGAAAAATTAGACTACATAATTCTCTTGGGCTATGGAGCAACATCTGAGAGATAAATACCAACACAGTCGTGAAGTCAATTGAAGGTCTCAAGCAGAGCTTTCAATTGGTACTCAGAAACATTTACCTTCCATCAAATACTAGAATGTCAGGCCTGAAACTTTCAGCTTCCAGCTGATTCACATAAAGTAGACAGATGTTCCTACTATAAACTTCATAACCAATCATCTGTCATTTTAATTCAAGATTGTGGACTAGTGCAAGGTTACTAATGGCACCAAAGCACTGGCCTTGCTTCAACAATCAAGACACAGATAGGGAGGATGAGTGAATAAATTCATTTTGTTAATGCATAGCAGAGTTTAGTAATCAACATTCAAATTACACTCATACACTTGTACAAATGGGTAAAAATACCTCTAAGACAATGTCAAAATCTTGAAACTGATGCTGCAAGTTACATTCCTGTGTCCATTTTTACTAACTAATCCTCTTATTCTAAACTCAATGTGTGGAGATGATTCAGCCCTTGTGCAAAACAGTATTACAGAAGAGAAAAGGAAAATTATGTGCTTGTTTTTCTTTGCTTGCCATCTGTCCCTGACACGCAGAAACCTGTCTCCTCACCCTCAACAATACTCAGTACATCATCAAGAACTATCAAACCGTATCTGTATTAGATACAGCTTTTCAGTAAAAATAGTGAATTACAAGTTTATTTTCATAGATTCATTTATCTACAGTTATGGGGCTGGCCAAATAAATACATTCATAAACATTTAGCCTTTACTTATCCACAACATAAGTGCTAAACTAAGACTTCAGTCATCTGTGGAATTCAAGAAAACAGAACATGTTTTGCATCTTCAGTTTTAGAGAGAGGTATGTAGAGCAAGATAGCACTCATGAACGTGGGCACAAAATGAAGATTAAAAACATTAGGTGTTTATGCCAGAAGAAGCAGCTCTAATAATCTTCACTTATTAGAAATATGGATAATGAAACTTATGCTGTCTCATACTAACAAGCACTGATTTCTCTGTTGAAAGAGATTGGGATATTTCTCTCACATTTGCAGTATAGCACAAAGTGGCAGGATCTCACAAGATTTTAAGTAATATTAAAAAAAACCAACAACAACAAAAACACAACCCACAACAATACCAAGCAATTTGAATGCTCCTCTTTTCACACATGCTTTTAAGGGGTTTAACCCCTCTCTGAGTAGGAGTGTTTGTAAAATGTCGCTTGGTGAGTCATACCACACTTCTGCTTGCTCCTGGAGTTTCAGTAGATGAAAGGAAATGCAAACAGAAGAACAGACATAACAAGAGAAATTAAAGAATAGTGAACGAATAATGAAAAATTCCATGAACTTGTTGAGCCATATAGGCTCTCTCATTTTTACAGCTGGCTGAATCTTTGCGTATTTTGGTGCTATCATATAGAATGTACACGTGCTATACACACATAGGTAGTGCTGTACACACATAGGTACTGACACATGCACAGCATTTCTCCACTTCCATTGCAAGAACCCACTGGCTCCATGTTTGGATCCTGATATGGTATATAAACATAGTAATGTTTAGAATTTATCTCAATTTTGAACATCAGGAATGATGTCAGCTGAATTCTGCAGGCAAGCAAAGAATAAACGGATACACCTTGGAAGGCTATATTCCTTGATGATCTCTGTGATCTGCTCAATTTTTTGTTATTTTATTCAAAAACCCCAGTTGACAAATTTCCCACACACTGAGAATACAGGAAAATAAGTGTAGAATTGTCAAATAAGTCACAACTATTTTTGACATTTGTCAGCCCATTGTAAAACAAAAATAAGTTCTAAAATAAAAAGAACTGCAAATTGTATTTTGACTTCTAAAATTCTAATAAAAAAGCTAAAAGATAACTTATTTATGATCATTTGGATCATTTGAGTATTACTTTGGATGTTAAAAAAGATATTTTTCTTAATAAGCGTTAGCTGTTGTAATACCACTTCTGTTTGAGAGAAGGTCATTTATTTGAGAATATGCAAAGCACCACATTGTGAACAGGACAAACAACTATTTTTAAGTGAAAAGAAAACATACAAATGCTCAAGTTACACTGGCTACACCCACATCAGTTCCACAGTCTGATAGCTTCTCTCAATGCTTGTGTTTTCAAAGGCTTGCAAGTCTCTGTCCTATAATTTTTGGGCCTAACCCAGCTACCATGAAAATATCGTGCTCAGCCTTGCTCTTTCTGACATGATTTCTTTATTGTGAGTCTTGAACAGGAAACACTAAATAGTGAACTGGCTCTTTTCAAGGACAAAGCAACCTGTTTTTCCTTAAGTACTCTAAATAATGCATATTTCAATAGAATAGTTTTGACAATAGTTTTATCTCTAATCTCAAAAAGGACAAATTTCACTGCAAGTCTTATGTGCTTCCAATGGTTGATGGAATGGTTAATTCAAAAACAGCACTGCAAATTGTTGACCAATAATTTCACAGAGCTTTGCTCAGATCAAAATTCCCACTTCAACTTGAAGAAAACTGACACATTACAAATTGTTCAACTATTCTACAGCTAACACAGAAAATTTTGGCTTCCACAGTAAAGATCTGATTAAGCATGATGCTTTCAAAGAACAAGATATATTACTTTGTTGACACAGTGCTGTCAGTGGGCTTCAAGTTTGCACGATTGTGTCATTTTACTTCAAAGTAGGCACACTGATGTTGGCAAAACTTGACAAACACAAATATGCTGTGATGGGATCCTGGCTTAGACTAAGCTGTGAAGCAGATATGCTTAAACCTACAGCAATCCCTACCAACTATCTGAAGGGTTTTCAAACTCAGATAACCTAGTACACTGGTAATTAACTTCTAAAAAAGAAAATTCTTAATGTGACTAGGTAACGCAAAGAAGAAAGTTTATCCATAGATATATATATTTTTTTTTTTGCAAGTACATATTTCTTTTGTATTATTCCTTGCAGACCTATTTTACCTGATTAATTAACTTTCAGAATGGTAATAAACCCTGCTAACTCTTCTAGTCCCTAGGAAGCTTTTTCCATCTTTTCTAAGACCTAGCTATCTGCCCCCTGAACCACATGGCAATCTTTCAGTATAGGCCGTAGTTCCTCAGCAGCCTAGTATGACTCTTATCCACTGCAACCAACAATCACGGGAACTTATTTTTTAATCCTTGAACATGTTTTATTACTGTTCATAAAAAAATGCTAACATCCCTTCCCCTCCCTAGTATGCATCTGATCTAGCTACTCTAAGAGGACTGTAACCAAGAAATAAGGAAAAGTGCTGTCTGTCAAATGCTGCAGATTTGATTAAGATTTTTGAATATATATATATTTTTCCCAGTAAATACCAGGATTAATAGAGATGTTTTAAAAACTTGTGTCTTTAAGGTAACAAATAATAATATATAAGAACCACACAGGCTGCTTGCCATAATTTATATCACTGATGCATAGTAAAATATATTCACAAGAGAAATCACTCCCTCAGGTGATTTAAGAAAAAAAAAGATTATTTGACATGTACATGAAAAGTGATCCTCCTATTATTACTTACTACGATGCTTGATAGCATCTCTTCATACACAAGATAGAGTTGCTTCTGTGAGACTGCTGGCTATATTACGTTCTTGATATCCACATTTCTCCTGAATGAGATCAGTACAGAATTTTCATCTCAATAGGCACAGGGTTTGCAGGAAACAGAAGGATTTAGAAATGCCTTGCCTTGTTTGTAGAGGTGGTTGACTTAAAAGACTTTAGCAATCATACAGGACACTAAGAAGACAGCAAGGATTGCCCTGCTGAAAACACTTAGAAAACTATTTGGTGGCTCTAGGAAACTGCCAGAGTTGCATTTGCAGAAAAAAACAACAACCATTTCCTACCCATATGCTATCCTTCCACAGCAACTATGTCAACAGAGTGTTTTAATGATGCAACCTCTCAACCTACCATTCACTAATTTCCTATTGTGCATTTGCACTCCATAAAGTTCTCACAGAGGAACAAGGAAGTCTACTTTCCAGCTCAGTTGCCTTTTCTTTTTCTTATTTTTTGGGTACAATATACTTCCCAAAAACTACGTTTTGCTCAGTTCTAGTTTGATTCATGTGACAGGTAGTTTTACCCAGAAAACAGAAGGTCTAACTTTGATAATGTAAGTATAACTAAAGAGAGTTAAGTGATTCATGAATTATCTAAAATAAAATATGGAAAAATTAAATATACCACACGGCATTCTGCAGCCTGTGAAGAAGGAAGAACTGTAGACTTTTGTCCCACATCCTTTGAAGACATCTTTGAAGTGTCTGGAGAAATACTAGGTGGATGTTCTTGGATTTCAGGCTCTGCATTATTGTCAGGGATGGGAGCTATCTGAATGGAAAGAGATGCTGTGTGTATCTCAGACATGGGGTTACAGGCAGGTGAGACAGGCCTTTGTGAAAATATTGGCACTTCAACAGGCTTGAGCTGTTGCTGTATATTACAGTGAACACCACTTGCTGGGTCTTGTGTCCGGGTTAATTTAAGGGTAGATACCCTCCGCTTTTGAGACTGCTGCGTTTGGCCTTGATGGAGAGTGGCACTAATGCCAGCTACTGCGCTTGTGCCTGCACTGGAGATAGCGGCCAGCGGTCTAGTGATTGTTTGTACATAGGACACATTCGTGTTAGATATCTGAGAAGATAATATCTTCTGGGCAGACTTCTCGTTAGTGTAATAGCCAGAATCTGTAGGAGGGTGTTTAGCTGGCTCAGTTGTTACTGTCTGGAGATTAATTGCATTCTTGTGATTAGTTACTCTTGCTTTCTGAAAGCTTTCTTTTCTAGGAGGTGGCAGAGGTGCCTTATTTGCCAAAATCATCCACACACAGCAAAATAACATTGAAGAAGAAACAGAAAGAAAGTAAATGTTAGCAGGAGATATATTGTAGTTAGAATTCAATCTTTAAATAAAGAAACTAAGACCTTAGGCATTTACTCAAGATTGTTAATACTATGGAAAACAGAACAACTCAGGTTCCCACTGTCTTTTGCTGTAGGGGGCTGAACAATTTGTATTTAGAAAACTAGATGTTCCATTTGCTCAGAGTAAACTGGAATCAGACCCCAGGAAAGAGTCTCTCTTTTCTTTAAAAATCACAATTATTACAGTGAAAAAAAAAAAATTAAAACTGTGGAATCCTTCATGATACTCTCCAAAATGAACTATATGATTTTAGATGACCATCTATGATTCACAGGTAATGCACATAAATACCACACACCTCCTAAAGCTCTGAATTAAATAGTTACAGAAACAGATCTGACACTGGTCTGTTGGTTCTTTTTTGAACAAATTAATGTGTTTGCACATTAAGTGCCTTCTAATCATATTGTTCAGCAAAACAAAAAAGCAGAAATACTATCTTATAATTAAAAAACCTTTATCCTCCAATATTTTGATAACAAGTACTATTTATTCTAGTGTAAAATTGTAATAAGTATTATTTGAAGTTTGGGAATACTCCTAGAAAACTGTGATTCACACTATCTGGAAGAAAAAACTTCCCCATAGGGATATCCCATCTGTATATGGTGACCAGAATAACACACACACGAATGCTAAAGAATGAAATCTGGTATGCTCAGTTTTACCTGAGTTGGTGATTTTTTGTCCTGTAGGTTTGGCCGCACACTTCTAAAACCTTTTGCTGTAAGAGATGAACTGCTAATGTCTCCATTCAGTGTCTCTCTGCTGCCATCATTGTAAGCTCTCCAAGCTTTTGTGAGGAAAAAAAATCACATTTTTTTGATGATTACTAGATCCAGATATTGCAGTCATTACAACAAACCAACTGTATGCAAATATGGAAATATTTCTCTATTACACAACTAGAACTACTGCTGATATTTCCATGGACGTTTTAAGAATAGAGCTAAAGCTGTAACTTTGCAAATATTTGTATCTTATTTATATCAATACTGTTCGTGGCAGTTTGTTAGCTCCCTACAACGTTCTTATATACTGTAGATGTTCAGCTTAGGAGTCCTTTTGAGATCCTGGTGGTTTATCCCTAGTGTAAAGCAGACTGAAATATTCTTTCAGGTTAGGTTCTTCATCTTCACAGCTAGATTTCAAAAAACATCCCAGCTCAAAAAAGTCACTACCTGATCATTTGCTCCAATCTTTTCAAATCTGTACACCATCTCAGTTTTCCAAAGCATAGTTTGTCTTTATTATAAGAGCTAAACATCCAAAAGGACACTGTCCAAATACATGGAAGATACTACACTACCTCAACAGGTTACTGATTTGAAGACAAAATATTGAAGAAAGAGCCTGGGATAAGAAACACATTGTGTGAGTAGGCTGCTAAGTGGGGTGGGTGGAACTTGTAATCCTAAGTAAGAGACTAAAAATGATATAACAAGTCCCACTGAAGCTGAAGGTGACAAATTAGCAGTCTGTGTGCTCCCACGCAACTCATTTTCTGACAACATACACTGTTATAGGAAATACCGCTTCCCAAGTGAGACCTTAATTTGAGGTCTTAACCAACCATTATTATTACAAATTCAATGCTACTTTCCTTAACGATTCTATATATATGAAGTGGTGAAACCAAAGGAAGGAAAATTGTTATATTTTATCCTGTTAACAAGATATTACAATGATTCATAAATATTGCTGTTTTATTTACCTGAATCTGGAGACTGAGAATCAGATCCTAAAATCAAGAAAGAACAAATATTAGTTTGTGTTATAAATGCTTGGAGTGTCTTAACGTGCAGCTAAGCTCACAGAGTTAATTTTATAAGTTATGTTAAAAAAAAAACAAAACCCAAACAACACAGTGACTCAGTATTCAATGATGCCAAGAGATATATGTATGCTTCTATTAATTGGTCTGTTGCCATGTCTCTGCAGATAAAAGTATCGAATTAAATGGCATCATAGTGATCTTGTTTTTGAGATCAGATCAGAAAAACAGCAAAACATCTGGTCCATACTGCTACACCAATTTATTTAAATAATTAAGCTGCTGATACAATCAGTAAAAAATCATTATGAATACAAGGTTTTATTTTAAGGATCTTACTGAGAATTACGTATCTATATATTAATTTTTACTGCCTGCAATAGATGCAGTTAGCAAAAGAATCTGCCTATGAAAGCAACTAGCATATGTGAGCCTTTCTGATGCTGCCTATGGGAAAAACGTAGCTATGGTCCCCCTCCCCATCCCTCGCTTCACAGCTCCAGCTGTCTATATAGATGCATTCTTATAAAGAGATCATCACCCCGTTTCCGTTCTATTAAGGCCAAGTGTCTTCCAGGAGTATGGGAGTTTTTGCAATTGTATAAACAAATCTTGCTTAAGAAATATGTGAGAATCAATATAAGATAAATTTAAGAAATATTTAAGAAATATTTGAAAGTCTCTAAAAAGCTAGTTTTGAAAATTAGGAATAAAACCTCTCTAGTAATTTTTTTTTTCCTCATGACACAGTTTAGAAACTCTGTAAAATATGCAGCTATTCTTTTGCCCAGTTACCTGAATCCCTTCCTTAATTATGCCTCAAAATAGTATACTATGTATAATTAATGTTTACTGTAGAAGTTCTACAGTGTGCTAAAAGTTGTTAATTAATTACTGCTATTTCAGACAGCCAACGATACATATTTGCTATCTTTTTTTTTTTTTTCTTTCAATACATACTGAGGTCTACTACCATTTAAAATCTTGATATCAGAAGAAAGACAGTCTTTTAAGATCAGCTGAAAAGTTTTAATTCAAAACCAAGAAAGATGTCTACACGTTATCAGGATTTTTTTGTTTTTTCACTCCCCACCAGAATGCGTGAAACTTTCTTCCCATTTCAAACCAAATCACTAATGGACACATACATACTGCCAGCACAGGGTAGATCAGAAATTCTGGTGTTTTCTTGGATTACTTAGAGATATAATATATCTCAATACTTGGAGTGTTTTTTCCCTTCTAAACAAACTAATGTTTTTACCTCTCCAAACAAACTGAAAATAATTTTTATGTATGATAATCTAGCACCAGTAGGACTACAGAACTAAGAGCACTCATCACCAGTTTTGAGTGCAATAGCACAACACATTACAAGGCTTGTACATGCTGAAATAAAAAATTCGTAGAAAGACTGCTAAGAAATAGAAACATAAAGCTTTCTTGAGTTATTACACAAGCATTAATTCCTATGACTGTTCTGCTACCCTTATTACAAAGAGCAGCATCCAAATTTTTAATTTGTTTCAGAAAATCAAACAGAGTTCTTATTCCTGGGATTAGTCTTACATTACAAAAAACATACAAAACAAAGATGTTACATCGCAACTATTTTCTGGCTCTCTGAAATTTATGCTCATTGAACTTCATGTATTATATTCACTGTGAACACTTAATGTTTATATTGGTATAAATTAGCCTACAACACTTGAGATTCTTTACGGATTTATATTTACAACTATTTAATTCATGTTTGAATCTGGACAGCTGACACTCATTAAGATTTCATCTTGTGAAATCAGACAGAAGAATGCTAAGCAGCAGCTCTCCCTACTGAATGCTTTCTATGGTTTTATTGTTCCACACATTTTTAGGAAAACATTTCACAAATGTTTTAAAATTATTCTGGCTTCGGATGATCATTGTACCATTGCACACAGATTCTTTTAGGAGCAGTTCTAAAGCCAGTTGTAATAAACATCCTCTCTTCATGCTGTATTATTTTGTAAAACAATGGGGGACATGAGACCCAAAATCTGTGTTATGTACCAAAGGCAAAGTTAATTTTACAGGAAAAAAAAAAAAAAAAAGCTTCTTCCTAAGTGTTTCTATTTTTTTTTTTCCATCAATGACTAAAGAATACAGGCAGAAAAAAATAAAAACTACTTTCTAAAGAGCATTGTAGAACTAAGGAAAATACCTGTCAGTAGAATAGAAAATATGGTTACCATTCCCCTCATTGCAGAGTAATACTGTAGACAAATGTAATGCTACAGAATGCCATTCATGAGCAGTATCTTACTGTTAGTTGTTATACCTGAAGCCAGTAGGTTTGGAGAGCTCTGAACCCTCTTCACAGATGTTAATGTGACAGACATTGCAGCACGTTTGCGAGCACAACCACCGCTATCTGGAAGCACAAAATAATACAGACACCAGCCCCAGACAAAGGAAGCAAGCACATGCAACACATCACAGTGTGAGATACGCCAAACATACAAGAAAATAAACATGCAATTAGAGAAATGCTGCAGGTACACGTAAATTCATGAGTTCCACAGATTAGCAGAATACATAAACTTTCACAAGCTTTAAGAAACAATAAACCTCATATAAAATAAGAAAGCAAGTACCTAATACTAAATTCACTATGGAAATACACATGTCCAGTTGCCTAGAAAACTGCTTAATTATACCCAATAACTGAAAAAACAAACAAGTAATCAAGATAAAGGATTAAGCATTCCAGAGTAATATTAATCAATAATCTGCACTGTAAAATAATTTCATTGTATGCATTAGAAAGACACCATTCATCAAACTAAGCCTATGTTGATTAGCTGACAAAGTACTTCTGTATGGCCCTTCAGACACTCTAAACACAAGAAACAAACTAATTAAGGATGGCATGCATTACTTTGATTCGGAGAGAAGTCCCTTTTTTTTTTTCTTTCTTTTTTTTTTTGTTTGTTTGTTTTAAATTTAATGGAAGATAAACACATGCATGTCTGGAACCAAACTATACTTCAAGGGAAAGACTTGAAATATAAATCTAAAATATGTCTGAACAACTAGCAGTATGAAAAACCTTTCTTCTGGAACTGGCTCTCCTTTTTTTCTTTCCTCCCTCACTTGGGGCTGTCATTCGGTCTTTAGCAGAACTTTGTTTTATAAGGAGGAGGCTTTCCTACAACGCGCTTTCTTAGAAACTCCTTCATAATAATCAAAGGTTAGTAAATATTCTTCTTGATTATTTATCCAGACTATTTTTCTGCACTTCAACATAATCATTATTTTAATTTTTGTATTTTATAATACTGAAGTTTCATGTAGGCCACCACTTCTGACAAACTACAACTTTGATAGAGGCCCTATGATTTTTGCATGTGTCCTGTAAGAGGGAGTTATATAAAATTATATTTAAGGGAGGCCTACAACCTATTAGTGGAAAGGATTTCCTGTAACGGTACTTTGAGCCACAGAGAAGACATCTTAAACCAATCTCCCAGAGAAGTGAGCTGCAGGTATTTCCTTGCTCATTCCAGCATTCCCCCAAAATAGCAAGGATACACATTAAGCAGTTGTTAATGCAGACAAACCTCTGAGTCACTGCCCCAGGTGTCAGGGGTTCTAAAGAGCCTCTGCCAGCTCCAAGTCTGGAGGCAAAGGGCCAGATGATTTCAGATGATTTTAGTCAGCAACAGCCTAATGCATTACATTAACTGATATTAATTATTGGTACTAGACTTGGGAAACAGAAATTAGTTATCAATTTATTTTAATTTGCTTACATAAACATAGCATAGCAATGGTAACAAAAATCACATTTTCCGTTCTTGTATCATTCTTCCTACGGACATAAAGTGGAAATAATTCCAGGGAGACTTGACAATTTGCTGATACTGAATTTTTGTTTTTATCTGAATATGGGCAGACTTCAGCAACACATTTATGTCATTAATACAAGCTGCTGCTTTTTCTTTTTAATTCAAACTAATGCTTTATTCGTATTTTTCAAGAGCTACCTTTTTGATTTTCAGCATAGAAAAGCTAACGCAGGAGAAAAGGAGGAGGAGACCAACTACAAATATTTAATCAATATAACTTCTACGAATTCTGCTTCAAATTCATTTCTAATGTAACTGAACAGAGTCACAATTTTGTATTAGTAGACACATTATCTAGCAAAAGATTTGACAGCTTCACACAGGATAGATAAAAGAGGCTTTGCAATAGACTATATGCATATTCATACACCATTTACCACTCTATATAGAAGCCACCCCTCCAAATCTGTACCTGCTATAACATTCTCAGTACATGTACACAATAATGGCAGAGAGTTGCTTTGCACTCAGGTGAGATACAACCACACAAATGCACTGCCTTCAGTTGTGCAACATATGTGATCAAACATGAACGATTATGGACAAATACATATTTGTGCCTTATGGATTCCTTCTTCCTATCTTTGTCCAGGCCAAGCTCCCATAAATCAAGGGCATCTGGATGAAGATCAGAAGAATCTGTGTGGTACTGCAAAAAGATCCAGATCTACATGGCCTTATACAGCTGAACTTTGAGAAGCTTATTTCAGCCTGTACTCCTTTTTCATAACTCCACCAAATTTCCAGCAAATGCTAACTTTATTTGCACTGATTCCTGAAGTCTGAATAACACCAAAACGCTCTAAGTCTAGAGAACAGAGAATTCTGAAACAGTGCAGGAGACTGAATTAACAATCATTTTCTCACTTCATTTGCAAAATATAAGCAATTAATATTGCAAAGTTGCTATTCAATGAATAAATGAAGATGAAATCAATAAAAAATGCTTACACACATAAAAAAATGTGTGCACATATGCATACAGTCAGCTTCTGATATTAGAAATCCTTCTGGTCTGAGAGCCATAGCCTCCTAGGGATTGCTTTAATGTTTAACCATAAGCAACCTGAATCAGTTCTGCAAGCAGAAATAGACTTGAAGTCGGGCAACTGTTTGCAATCAAAAACACTGCTCAAAATGTCCAGCTCAGATTAGGCCCAACAGTGCTTGATATTCTCTTGCATGCCCTCCATACTCACATCAAACCAGGAAAAGACAAACAAGCATCCTCAGCAGGTACTGCAGAAAAGGAGGAGAAAACAGTGGCAGGAGGTCTCTGGTGAGGCATGTTTCTGCTACTATCTTTTAGAGCAAAAAAACACGTAAACGAACTCCTGAATACTATGATTAGTTTTGCATGTTTATTTCTGAAGAGAGAAAAAGAAAGAGCCCCACACTGACAGGAAGTGACAAGCAGCTTGCCCTACAGCTTGTAGTACGTGCATATTTGCATACGTACCAGAACACTCCACAGCTTTGCTCTGCATGCTCTCTTTAATTAGTTCACCATCCAGTTTCTTTTGCTTTGGCAAATTCTTTCTCCTTTTCTCCATTCTTCCCCTTTCCTCCCTTTTGTTTTCTTTTTGTTTCTTCCTACAAATAACTGAATTTTAAGTCCTGTGCAATTCTCAGCTGCCTCTTCCCCCGCACCCCATAATGATTCCCATAAAGCAAACCCCTCCTTACTTCAGAACCTGATCTGAAGAGCTGCTCCCAGTGGTTTGTACTGATGTGCTCCAAGCCTAGATCCCAGTGCTGAGGCTCTCCTGGCACAGGCTTAAGAGGGGCCCAGACACTGTGCTTATTCCTCAGAAGTCCTTAATCTGGGGTACTTCCTGCCTGCTCATCTAGGTTTGTGGAAATGTACCACTGACAGCTCCTGCAACTCCTGGCAAGTAATTATTTGGGCTTCTCCTCCTGCTGTCATCTGCCTGAACTCCTCTGTGGGTGCTAAGCTGAGCTACTACCACAGAACCTAACACTGACTACTCAGGGGCATCTACTATTACTTGGTTCTTTCATACTGCTAAATTGCAGCAGATAATGATTTTAAAATTAAAATGTAGGAGAACATTTGAACAATCAAGCTGTATATTTTTTTTAGTGATCCCAAAACAGCTTCTATTAGCTTATTGCTTCTAACAGTCTATTCAGGAACTCTCCAAGGACCCAAGAATTTCTATTTTTGTCTCTCAGAGAATTTAAGATGTTAGTCTATGTGATGACTTGCATTGATAATTTTAACAATCACAAAATATTTGTGGGCTTTCAGAACTGCAGACTTTTTCACTCTCAACTGCTCTTTATATGCCTCATTTATTTGAAACAGACAACTTTAAAATTAGATGCATTTATTGAGCATTATCTGTGTGAAACACAGCCAAAACATTTTTGGATAGACACTAAGAATCTGTTTTAATGTATTAGCTTGCATTCATTCATAATCCCTCAGTGAAGTTTCCTCTCCCCAACAACAACTTCACACACGCACACCTGATATAAGCAACAAGCATTTTTATCCTGTGCTGCAATTTGAAGTGAACTTCATTGGTGGCTTACATTTTCCAGGTCTTAGTTTCTCAAAATGCCTCACCAAGATAACAATGGTCACCAAATCTGCAATACTTAAAGGCTTGTTGATGACACAGTTTAAAGTGTCATTCAGTTGATGACTTCACAGTCTGGGTTTAAAAAGGTAATACAAAGGCACACATTCTGCTAGACTACTATTTGTATTAACTTACAGCAAAATTAGAACACCAAAATCAACTACAAATTAAGGTGCCTTCAGTACTTCTGAAACCTTCTCCATATCCAATGTCTGCGCCCTTGTGTTTGCAAATACATTTCACTGCATTTAGCTGCTGAGTACTTCTTCCTAACATGTGGTACAGAATCAACATCAAGCACTGAAAAATCCCTCCCATATATGGTAGAGTAATGAAAACCAAAGCTCTTCAAAACATTTTCTCTGTAGACAAAAATATCTTCTACAGGGTTTGCTGAGACAGACTGCCAAGCCTGCAGCCACAGGGAATGCTGGGTTAGAGCAGCCCAGTCCAAGTAGTACATCGGCTTTTTAAAGCTGCACATAGACCAGGTCTGTTTGCTTTGCCATTTGAACAACTACTTTCACTAAACTGAAGAGAAAATTTATCTGATTGAGTAATTAATGTTAATCCCACTTTGAAACAAAATAGTGGCAAATTCACAGTAACCAAAAATCTCCAATTTTGTCATACAAAAATTTCTATTATAAAGCAGCGAAATAGAAAAAAAAAAAAAAAAAAAAAAATTAAGGAACTTCTGCATTCCTTTCATGCCCTAAGACAGGTGACTGTGCCAAACATCCTCAGTCTCAGTCGCTCTCCTCCTTAGTAGAGCAATGCTTCACCAACAGATGTGTAAGAAGTTCACTTCTATGTCCTACTCACGGGAGTTTTTCTTACAGTCAAGAAGTAACATACATCAATAGAACTGATATGAAATGCTGGGTTTTTTTTTGGTCAATACTTCCTTTTAGTGCAGCTTGCAATGTGCACATCCGTAAGATGAAAAATGTTTTCACTACTTAAGAGCACAGTAAAGTCCAGCTTATAGCCATGATATCTTTAAGAAACTATGCAAGATTTCAAGTATACTTGGGTCTTTAAGTGGGTGTTCAAGTATCCTATGTGGTAGAAGAGTTGATCCAATAGATGTCATTCAGACATACAGTTGATTAAAATCTTTATGTCTGTTCCTCTTCAGAGTTTCAGACTAACTTGAGAAATTTTAGTATAGCGCAGAACAAAACCACCCTTCAGAGCTGCAGTAACACAAACTGGTAATTTTCATCTCTGACACAAGCCACACTTTTCAAAAGTAGAAGCTATAAAATGACATCTATTATGTTTTAACCCATATGATTACAGAGTACAGTGTAATCACACTCAGATGATGCTTAGCTGACTTACTTCTGAAATTACAGTTCTGTGTAGCAAGCAGTACTTCACTACTGCATTTATTATACAGACTGACATGTTTAGGAAGGAAATCTCATTAAAAAAAAAAGCAAAATGGTAAGACAAATTTCCATAAATGAAATCCTTATCAAGACTTGGTGCTACTCCCTCTCCATCACTCTCAGGTTTGCAAAAGATTTCAGAACAAACAAAAAATACCCCACCTCAGCTGAGAAACTTTGCTTCTCCTAATTAAAATAGTTGCAAATATAGCAGTTTCATCACAAGACAAAATTAAAATGTATTACACAATTATTTTAACTTTGTCTTAAAAAAAATCATTATGAAAACCTCATGAATTCCAATCACTGCCTGAGAGAATCAGAAGCCAGGAAGCTCTTCAATACAGGAGCCTAGGAAATAACAGCAAACTATAGCATGGTAACATTAATCCCTTGGACTTAGAGCATGCAGATGAAACATCTGCACTGGATCACAGGCAGCTCAGGACTTCTAGTCCCAAGCATGAGATTTTCCTTATTTAAATTGTCAGTGCAGCGCTGTGATCAATAATAAAAGTAATTGGTCTGCAGAGAATGAGTATTTCTTTTCCTGTGCCACAGTTAATATGCAAAGCAGACAGTTTACCTGTAGAGGGTAAAGAAGTGACTGCAGCTGTAAATTTTACACCTGACATGAGGATTTCACTGGTCTGCTTACTGGAGTGCTGTTCCCACTTCTAGCAAAACCATTAGAATTATCTACTGACTTAAATGATCCAGGAACAAGTCAGGACTATTTTACAGATCGTAACATAAAGATATATACTGCTGAGTAATTTGTGTGGTCAGTAGATCTATCAATGAAACTTGAGAAAAAACATAAATCTTTAAGTACAAAATAGTTATTCTCATCTGATTATGCAAACGCAGCCAATACAAAGATAGTGTTTATGTCTTTTAATTTACTGACAATAAAGAACGGAAACAAAACATTTTTAAGGCATGATAGGAAAATGTGATACTTTAGCATCAATTTTCCACAGCCTTTATGTCCCAACACTACATACATTTGCAGAAAAGCATATGTATACAAAACTGAAAGAAGTAACATAAGCACAGAAAGCTAAACATGCATGCATGTTTTATATGTCCATATATATCCATCCATACAAAAACAAGTATGTAAATTTCATATATGGAATAGAAATCCATGTAAACAGACATACTACTAAAATACTTTGCTTTGTCTAAATTCAATGCCAACTAAGACATAATTTGCTCATGAACTTTTAAATAAATCTGGGATTTTCTTTGTCTTCTGAACAACATATACAAGTAAAGAAAAATCTCACATAAGCAGCGTACCTGTGTTCATTCTGACACTGACGGATTTGCTATAAAAGTCTTCAGATTTCCTGCGAAGAATAAAATGATCTATTAATTTGTACAAGACATGAATATGTGGCACAAAATGGCAGTACGACTTCTCAGGGAAGTGGAGAATCAACACGATATAAACAACAGTCCTATTTTAATGTGGCTTTAATTAAATTGGCACTGCATGTTCTTCCAAAGTTAAAGATGAGCTGGTGCTTCCATTATAAGCTACTCTATTTGTAAGTGTTTAGTATCTCTCTGGTAAACATTTGCTCTGGGTTAAAAATGTAGTAATTGATTTTTGGTCCTGAAACTATAAACTAAAGAAGACCAGTTTAAGAACATGTTTAAAGTCTGCTTATGTCTTATTCACTCTTCTGCGTGAAGAAAGATACAAAGCATCGGCGTCGTAAGATTTTTTTTAAGCAAAGTTATTAGATCTTTCCTCATATGTTTCCAAGAAGGAGATGTGTCTGTTTTCATCCAGTGATTTATCACTTCTCTACAGACAACACAACATTCTTAATGCTGCCCACTGCATTGCTTTGCACTGTAGAATATGTTTTGGCATCCACAGAAATCCATTTCAGTTGACCCACTGGAGTCAACAGACAGGAAATGAAGTTGTTATATATTTGGTTTCCAAGCTCAGCAATGTGCTTTTTAAATGTAGTAATGTGCATGAAAATAATGTATGTAGAAGCTCTATCACTTATTTAGGCATCTCGACTCCATACAGTACTTACAAACTAACAAGAGCAGAAAAAAGCAATGAGAAAACCCACAACTGCAGAAAAAACAGGACACTCTACATTAAAAGGCCACTTCAACCTACTGGTATAAATCACAGCACCAACCGGAACAGTATTTTCCATCTCAGTTTATGACAGTTTATGTTTCAAATTAATCTGAGGATCGGGAACTTTAATAACTCTTCTCTCTCTCAGTCTCTTTACAGTACTGCAGCAGCACAAAAAGATGACAAAGAGAAATGCAGAACTGGTTTCAAAGAATATCCCATTCTTACCACAGATAAGAGCCACAGAGCCTGCTGTGTACTCAGCAGTCTCAACTGTGTTTTACATACATGCTGCCCACTGTAATTTACTTCAGTGAGTAAGAAACACTGAAGGACAAAAACGTATGAACTGAATATTTAATAAAATTTAACAGTGACAGAAAATCAAAATAGAATTTGAGCTCAGCTCAACAGGTAGGCTGAATTACCTGTACCTCTGAACTGACAATAAAAATGTTCTCTTGTATTCATAATGAAGCCAGACTCTACACTGCTTGAAAAACTTACTGGTAAGCAATTCTTCATGCTAAAGTATGTGAAGAAACTGTCTGTACTCTGCTGCTACTATCCAAAGCCAGTTTTTGACAGAAAGCATATATGATAAAAAAAAAAAATAATAATTAAAAAAAAATTAAAAAACCTTAATACTTAATACTTAAATACTATGGAAACAATTATCTGGCAATGAATGAAGTTTAAATCACATTCTATTCTGCAGCTATCAGAAAATGATCTGAAAATTTCTGGAAGCGCTTCAAAAATTAAGGCAAATGATCTCTTTTTTAAATTTTTTTTGGATAAATAATCTTTGACTGACACTTTGGATTTACATAACAGCAGCAGAATATTTTTAAAGCCTCGATTTCTTACAACATTTTTGGGCTGCTAGAAGAGATACCATTTTCAAGCCTTCTTTTAGCCTGGAACTGAATCACTGATGGTACTTGCAAACAAGCAGTGAAATGCAACATGATATTTATTTTCAGACCCAACAAGTACAGAACTCTTGGAAGACTGTGATGCCAAAACGATTTTTAGCAGGTGGCTTTGATATATTTACAGTGAGGATTGCTTAACTCTTACTGAAGTTCTAACACACTACACTCAGTTTTAACACTTAACCTTTGTCCTCTTTAGACTTTTTCTATCCTGATTACACTGCATGACTGACTCACAGTGAAGGATTCCAATACAAATCATTTCCACATTAATCTAAATTTCCCATAGAAAGAAAAACGCACAACATTGTATACCTGAAAAGTATGCATACAAAGAAGGTCATATCAATTGAACTGACACAAACAGCAGGCCTTGCAGTTTAACTAACTGCCACTGCTCACTTAAAATTATTTGGAATTTTCTGTTGGTAGAGAGGTAAAGGATTGCCCAAATACTTAATGGTACTGGCAGTAGGATTCAAATGAGCGCAGAGAAATTAACAGTCAGATATACAAAGGCAATGGACTATAAAAATAAAAATTTGCCTTAAAGAACATGAAGATTCTCACTTCAAGAAATTGGTGGAGAAGGGGAAGCAAAGGGATTTGTTTTGCATTACAGTTCCTACTTTGCCTCCTGAAAATTGTTTGGAGTACATGGGCTTGCAGAAAGCTTTAATCTGAGTGATGTAATGACTATTCCTCTGGAAGTATCAGACAGTCTTCACTACCAAAAGGATGTCTCACAATCAGCTTACATATTCAGCTCTTGGATGCTAAACCAGAAGGAATGCCCGTAAATATAGTGCAGACACAAAGTACTACTGGAACATATCAGTTTGCAAAATCAACAACTGTTGATTTAGTCATCAAGGTCAGGTAGGTCTTCTACAAAATTCATACCTAATCTTAGATGATAAGATAAAGGAACACCAATTTATCCAGAGTAGCATGGGGAAATTTTCCACTGAGAAAAGTTGTGCATGCTCCACCCCTGGAGGTGTTCAAGTTTGAAAGGGGCAGTGGGCAACCTGATCCAGTATCTTAGTATTTGGCAACCTTGCCTGCAGCAAGCAGATTGACACTAGATGATCCTGGAGGTCCCTTCCAACCCAAGCCATTCTATGAAAGGGTTAACGCACAGAAAAGGGTTAACTTGAGTACTGTTAACTTGAATACAGCTGCAGTTACCACTGCTTTAGTTTCACTAAAGACGTAAGATACATTGCTGTATTATTTCTTGATAAGACCTTATTTCTTGATAACACCACAAAGATTATTTCAGCTCAGCAATACTTTGCACTGTGAAAAATTACTAAGAACACTAGTAGGAATCTCACTGACACCAGCTCTGTTCTCCCCAAGAGACCTTGCAGCTAGTTGTAATTGCTTCTGTTCCTGATAAGTTATGAAGTGTGGGGTTCTGTGGGGAGCCATTCTGTCACACCCCTTCTGTTCCACATTTCTGTGCAGCTATAAAAAGAGTTAGTGAGAAGTCAAGAAAAGTTTCTCCACCTTCAAGAGCACAAGATGCATCTCTACTGTTTGAGGCTCAATTCCATTATTGATATTAGAGCACATACAAGTGCAAATGTATCATCCAACCAAGCATCAGCTAACCAAATGTGAGCATAGGCTTTCTGAATCAAAGTCTAAATGAGCAGCAATATGTTATTATCTGCTTGCACCTCATCCAAAGAATTAAGATCATCTTTGTTAGTACCCATAATCTGTAACTAGGTAAAGACAGAGAACATTAAAATTCAGAATATCCTTTGATAACAAAAAGGTGAAGATACTCTTTTGGAAATATGTAGAAACCCTGAAAAATGTCATTACCGCTAAATTCTTAGCTTAATGATTTGTACATTCTTAAATGCCACTTGTAAGTATCAGCTCAAACTCATCCAGCATATAGGTATCTTTCATGATCTGTCTCTGGCTCTGTGGCCTGGAGTGCAGAAAATTTTGAAAAGCTAGATTACTTATCTGTGTAGATTACCAGCAAGCAGACTCAAAGAAATGAGTTGTTTTCTTTCACAGTTTTTGGAAGACTGGTGAAGAGCAAGGTGGTAATTTGCTTTGTTTGGTATATTTTGAATCAAAGCATTCGGACTATTGCTATTTCATTTCCAAAAGAAACTGGCAACGTCCAAATAAACTGTGTCTGAAAATACTGCTGATGAATTCTACTTAATAGTCTGAATGAGGCTCAAAGAGAAAATACTATCATACACACAACTTCCCTTTCCCAAAAGCAGCAGATCTCAGTTATATTTCAGCTTCTTGGCTCAGAGTACTATGATAAATTGTTAGTTTCATTGGCTAGAATCAACTAAACAACTTCCTCTAGTTTGCTAGGGATTAGGGATAAAATTAGGGATTAAAACTTGAAGACATTCCAACTGTGTACAGTATCAGTACAAGTAAATTAAGTAGGTATTTAACTTTCAATGTAAGCCCAGTTCCCCTGTAGTAAAACCCCCACAAACTACTTAAAGCACTGAGGAGATTTCATCTTGAAAACCACAAGCAGTTCTAGTTCCCATGATCAAGAGATCAAAGAGATCACATACAGGAGAATTCATCTCAGGAGTGCATGGCTAACCATTCTTTATAAACACATCAAGTGGACATAACTGGAGGAAGCAGAGGAACAATGTTGGCACAAGTACTGCTACGAACTATTTGTCTTAAACATAAGTTTGAAAATCAGAGTGTGGTTTCTACTCACAGAAGCCAGCCGTTAAGGTCTGAAACATTTATCACAACTGCTGTGGTCAAAATCAAGAGCCTGAATTTGGCAAATATATGAAGAAAAAGTGACTGTCTGAAGGAAAGAGAATAAATTTGATAGCACATCACTTTCCAGGCATTTCACTGTTTCCCCAATGTAATTTTTCCTTTGAGAATGCTACAAATGCAAGATAAGGAAGAAGTGGTATGGTATTCTTTTCTTTTCCATATTTCTTCATAAAATAGGAAGAAAATCAAGTGAATATTTGATGACAGAGAAGAAGTAATGAAACTATAGAGAAAAACTACATGTTTCTAATCTGAAAGTTCCTTACAGCAATTTTTGTTGTTGCATAAATTGGGGGGAAAATTCACAATTGCATTTTAAATTGGTATCAAGTTAGAGGTAATTAGAATATAAACTTGCACATTTTCTATTATATATTTTTCTAACAATTAACAAGCTTTCTAGATCACTTTTGGGAAATATGGAAAGTTTTGACAAAAGAGGGTCTGATTAGGACATGTCAATCATTTCACCATGATCAAGTAGCTTATTTTACTAAATACACTACTTAACACAAATACTCAAAATTCCATTAACTCAAATTTTTATTTCCCAGAAGATAAAAACAACAACAACAACAACAACAAAAAACAAACAAAAAAACCAACAACAACACCAGGCCGTATACAACCAGTTCTCCATCTTTCTCAACACACAAATTCCAAGAATCATTAGAACTATGTTCCTATTTAAAATCCATCATGTGATAGTTAAATATGAATTCATTAGTCTTCAGGAACTAACAAACACATGACAAAAATTTCCAGAATCTTGAAAAGCAATGATGAAAGTAAAACTTGGTAATTACTTTCATCATTACACTTGAATGATTAAAGTACCATTAATCAAAATTTCCATGTTTATAGAGCATGATACACAATGCATTTCTACATGCACAAATCCCCACTTAAATATCACTCCTTCCAAAAAAATTTTTGAGGAAATAATGTTCATTCATGAGAGCAAAAATCCTTTCCTATTTTTTTTCCTTTTTAAATTTAGAAAAATGCTTCCCTGAAATAGATGTAATTTTACATCTATTTAACAGAGTTAGACCAATTCATGGAGTAAGGTTCTGTAACGTATTCTTAACAATTATGCTGTAGCAACAGAATTCAATTCTAGACTTCTAAACATGCTCATAAATACAAAAAAAAAAACCCTAAATCTATATAAATGATGATATTAATTAAAATGAGATTCACTGGAATATTTTCATCCTTCTTATTTACAAAGATACATAAGCTCAATGGGATCACATAGGCAGATACTTTATCCCTAAGTACTTAAAATTTTCAGACAATTTTGTCAAATTTTGGCAGGCAGCCAGAGGCCTAAACAAATTTGACAGTTTACTGTTCTGTGAGTAATTCTCACAAAGAATACAGATGTTATTCAATCCAAATGGGTGATCTACACTAGATCATGCCAGGAAGAAAAATTACAAGCTATATATGGATAGTCGCTACATACCTTATGATCTTTGCTACAAATCAAACAAGGAAAAATACTTGTTAGAAATCAGATAATGTTCAAAAATTACAAAGGAGGAGATCATGCTGATGTGAACTGAAGAGCCATAAAATGTGAAATGATAATCAGAATACTTTAGTTACAAAGCAAAACTAGAGCAGATTTTTTAACTGATCTGAAAAGACACTAGATTTCTCCAGTTCTGTTGCTCAGTGAACTATTGGTAGCCTTTCAATCTGCATAATGACATCAGACTAATTGCAGAAAGATCAAGCAACAGTTAAGTGGCAATGAGTTTAAACACAAACACAAACAAGGAAGACTCATCCAGAGTCACAGCTGCCTTTTGGGACAGTAATTCCTTTCAGCTTCTGTTAATGTTCACGCTAAATGACTCAGCATTAAATGCTTCAAAGTAACTCAAATGCTGTAAACTTTAATCTTCCCTATGTGCTATAACAAGTGTCTTATATCCGGCTGTTTGTCTCATTAACTCTCACCATGTTTGGCTATATCTGAAGAATCTCAGCACTCCTTTTCATAACTCTGATCCCCTCAGAGACTTAACTGGTTCCACAAAAGATACTTAGTAGCAGCAACACTATGTGCTCACAAAACACAGTAAACTTGCATATGACTCACAAAGAATAGATCAGCTCTGTAACCTTTTGTTTGCATGTTTTCCTGATACTACATTTTGCACTTTTCCAGGATACACAACCATCGTTTCTCATTTCAAATAGCTTTACCCTCCCTCTCCATACATACACGTAAAACAACACATCTTCTATTATCTAAGCATCACTGTTAGACAGTTGAGGGAAGTGATCATACGCCAGTGTGACCTCACCTTGAGCTCTGTGTGCAGTTTGGGTGCCACAATACAGGAAGGACATAAATCATTAAAGAGCAACCAAAGGAGGACTGTGAAGATGGTGAAGGGGCTACAGGGCAAGACTGCATGAGGAGCAGCTGCGGTTCCTTGGTTTGCTCAGCTCAGAGAGGAGACTAACGGGAGGCCTCATGGCAGCCTACAGCTTCTCACAGGATTGGAGGGGCAGCACTGAGCTCTGCTCTCTGTGGCAACGACAGGGCCTGGGGAGATGCAGGTTGGATGTTAGGGAAAGGTTCTTCACCAGACAGCGGGAACAGGTTGCCCAGGGCAGTGGTCACAGCATCAAGCTGCTGGAATTCAGTAAGTATTTGGGAAATGCTCTCAGACATAGAATTTGGTCCTGTGAGGAATCAGGAGTTGGACTTTAATGATCATTGTGGGCCCCCGCCAGTTTGTGAGTCTGTGATCCTGCAGTTTACAACACCAGTACATGCCCTGTACTGTGACTGTTTTAATACCTAATGAAATCCAACATGCTTCAATAAAACAAAAAGCCACAATTTTTTCCCAGGATAAACAATCAGGTAAAGAACTACCAGCAATTATAATCAGTAGCACAGGTAAACTCACATTATTATGAACTGCTAATACTAGCTACCTGTACCTGATAGCTGAATTTCAGAAGTTATAGAGATTTGGTTCACGTTTAAAGATTGGCTGCTTATCTTTCTCTTTCCCTCTCAATTTTAACTGTCCACCAGCACACTTAAGGTCTGCGATTTAACTCATACTCTGCTGACCCTGGAGCAAGCCAGAAATAGCATAACATTAAAGCTCACAGCTTTAGAGAAGAGGGCATACAAAATGCTCAATCTTTACAGAAACAAGGAATGAAAATAAATCTTTTTAATTGAGAAAAAAGTACAGTATTTGACAGAAACAGCCAAGAAAGAGAACAAGGAAGCACAAAAGGAACCCGACAGATGCTGTTTGATACCTGAGGAGCTGACAAGACTGAAACGTGAGTATGAATCTGCAAAGTAATTTGAAATACACTTAAGAACATAAAGGAATTATACAGTTTGTCTTCTCCACATGCCTTTCATGTAATTGTTCGATAAATTCGTATTAGATTGCCAATCCAATTTATTTAAATATATTAGTGGGAGATTTCCAGTACTGAGTTGTCTGGCAATTTTAATTCCAGAAGTAGACTACTGTGGCATTCTAGAGGAATTCAGGGGTAACAGCAGATTTAGACCACAAAGCAGGAGCCACTGAGGTAACCTGTAAAACCTGAGTACCTTGGAAAAAAAATAGAAATCAGGCTTTGAAAGGGAAATGGAATCTGCCCATACAGTGGTACAACAGCCCCTTGACTGATGGTTATCAAAAGCTGTTGCTGAAAACCACTCATGGGAAAAGGTCCCTTCATCTCAGAACTGTCCAGTGACCCACTAAACAAAAAGACCAAGAAAACAAAGGATGTTTATGTTACCATTTACTGTAAATTAAGATCTGTTTATGGAAGGGGTTTTATGTAATGGCTGAATTATTAAATTTACAGTCATTCTCAAATAGACATGGTTTCACATACCAATTAAATCTACTTGCATACCTAAGAAGAAAAATCAGTAGTGGACAAGTTTACTGGTTTGGTTTTTTTTTTTCCCTATAAATTCCCATCATTTTCCTATCAATTTAACTTTTCAGTGACATTTCAAGGATAGTACCGGACCATTTTGTCAAGCAGTCTTACATGGTCCAAGGCACCTTTAGTGCAGGTACCATATGGCATTGCTGGCTATCTTCTTTAATAGAGCACTAGCATTTGGTTTCTATACCTGGTTCTGCTATTGACTTTCAAAATATCATCTTACCTTTATGAGCTTAGCTTTCTTTTCCCCTTGTTTGTAACTTCAGGGACTGACTTCACAGACATACCAGAATGAGATCCTTGTCTCTGCTAAGATGCAGCCTTTCCCCAGTGGGTAGATGTACCAACCAACTATTCCCTCAATTTTTTTTTATTTTTATTTTTTTTAAAAGGTTTCCCTAAATGTTCAATCAAACTTAAAGGAAAAGTCTAAATTTTCGTTAACCATAGCTGCCCAATCCTTTGATCACTGGGCAAATAGTAGCTGCTAAGAGCAACCACTTGCTAAGAGAAAGCGTTAAAAATTGGTAATAAAATCAGTGCAAAAATTCTACAACCACAAAACTGTTCCAACATTATTGAAATAAAAGTGTACCATAAAAATAATTTTCAAAATACTATTTCCCAAGATTATTACTGTTATGGTTTTTCAGATGAGAGTTTGTATAAGCATAACTATACAGCATATGGTTTTCTAACATACAAATTGTTATCCAGAAAACCAAAAAATTGTTACCTATTCTACTTTATTGATATTATATTTACTTCCTGCAAGTAACATTCATGTCTGTAAGAGCTGAGTTCATACTTATCAAGTTAAACTTTATTAATTAAAGAATTGATTTTCCCTCTCAGTTCTCCCCAAGAATTACAGATAACATATTTCTACCAAGAGGGTAAAATACTAAATTACTTGGTTAAATATTTTGGTATTAATAATGCTATTTCACTACTTATTGCTCAGTTCATGTTTATATACATATCTTATATAAATGTAGTACTCTGATATTTGATTTTCCAGTGTGGGGATAAAACATTATCATGTGACATCCACTCTTGCTATTCTTACAGATCTTAAATGAGAAAAAACTGCTCAGTGCTTCGGTTCAGCATTCCAGACAGTGAAGGTCGGAGTCAAGATGATTCCTTATCAGCACAAAATTGCCTTTTCTCAGTTCTGTCTGTATAACAACAATAGGTTGAATGATCCTATGAGTCATGTCACACAGATGTTACCTCAAGAACATTTAAATGGAATTCTCAGTGTCAAAGAAAACTAAGTACACTGACCACACACATTCTGTAAAATGAAAATACTTCTCTATAATCTGGCATAACCCTCCATTTTTTCCAGTGAGAAAATATATGAGAACATGTGTATACATATACACATACACCCACACACCTATATCTTTGGCCTGCAGTCTACAAATATAATGATTAAAAAGCTGTATCTTAGGAACTATAATGATGTAACATAAAATTTTGATTGCTTTAAGCACAATTAATTTGCCTGTGTATAGACAGAATTATGTTCTTCCTGTAAGGGGCTATGCAATAATGAACCTAATGGTAAGCATGTAGCCCCGAACCTCATTTATAACTTAATTTTCCTTGAGGCTTGTATTAAACATTGATCACTGGAACAGCTATGCATTTCACCACATTATTTTTGGCTCAGAAAGATACCATATTCTTAGTGAAATAACAGAGACTGGAAATAAATTTAGTAATTTTGGGTGTCTGAATTAAAGATAATTTTTTGGGTCCATTTTATCAGAATACTTTCAACATAGGTAGTGCTAATCAAACTCCCCCTTCGCACCAACTGTGGGCAGTGTGCCAAACACTTCCCCAGATCCAGCCTGAGACTGGTTCCAGGCATGCAGCAACTCAGGAACAAAGTTTGGAATCACTGGGGAAGAGGACTGAGTACCTGCACAGCACTGCAGAACATAGCCACACAGCACAGTAAATGCTACAGTTGGGAGCTTCCTGTGGTAATGCACAACGTGAATACCCCAGGAGCTGTGTGCGCAAGGACACAAACTAGAACTTGTATTCCATATCATTCATCTCTGCTATCACACACACTGGTCAGCAAATGAGAGAAGGATTGTAGGGCTCCACAACGGAGTACTTTTATTCCTTCCTATTACTGTATCCCATGAGAAGATTCAGCTTGTGCTCTGGATGAGGCAACAGCTTTGCAGAAAAAATAGATGAAACATGAAACCATTGAAGTAATTGCATCGATATAGAGAGGTAGCTTTAATTCCAGCATCTCCCACTCTCAGCTTTTATAACAGCAGCATAAGTGTTTCTCATGCAATCATTTAGATTTTTTTCTTCCTAAAAGATGGAAAAGGTGGCCCTACACAGACACCTGACTCACTTTTCTATTAACACTAATTGCTAATGAAGTTTGACAACTGCAGTAAGCTTTCAGCTTAAATTCTCAGTCCCAGATTCCTTTCTAGACAGTCCTACCTTTGTTGTTGGACTTACTTAAATGCCAGTGTTTCTGTAACTGCCCTCCAAACACAACTCCCCCTTCCCCTGCCACAGGCTGTTTGTCACAGTCCAGAGCTCTTATTCCCTCAGTTTTCAAGCCAAGCAGCCTTTTCCTCTTCAAAACTAGTCTATAGGGGGTCTGAAAGAATAGCAAACACTGCCACTTTAGTTTCAAGCTAGATCTAGTGTTCTCTGTAATAACAATTACATGAATTACACTCAGAAGCATTCGATTCTCAAGTCTAATTTTCTCTTCATGTGCAATGAGGACAGATCTCCAGATATTCTCACTTTGCTAAATCTCTACTCAGCATCAACAAGCAGACTTTTCAAGCACACATAGTTTTTGAAAAAGGTAGAAGTCACATTCCTAATGAAGCTAGGTTAAAGTTTACATCTGTGTTCCAGTTGCTGAGATCCTAACCATGCTAAAATATAGGTCATCAGAATTCTTAAAGTGAACAAAATAATTACACTGTAGAACCACAGCTCCTACTTCTTGCCAGACAACTCAAAGCAGGACATGCTAAATGAGTTTATCAATAATCAGTGCCATCAATCTATGCCAATTGGTTTATAGAGTTTAATAATCCAGTTTCAAAAAAATTGAATAATTTTGTCTTAAGGTTTCTTTCAGCAGTATCATGACAACGTAGCTTGTTTTGCTTCCTAAACAAACGAGTGAAACTCTGCCAGGGGTACATCCCAGGAGTACTGAAGCTAACAGGAATCTTCCACTGGCTCTTAGTGGGTTTAGTACTTGCCTTCAGTGTAATGTGAATTCAAGGTTATCAAATGTACCTGCAGTAGTAGCAGTTACTCTAACCCTGCCACAAGTGCTATTCAGGGCTTCATTGTTCTGCATTGTAAGCATCACTCAACTAATTCATGGAGTGCTAGCATGTAAGATAGTATCTGTTACAGGAAAACTCGTAGATCAGTTACATGCCTTGCTATAATACCAGCTATTCCACCTAATCAAGTGTGGTACGAACAACAGAGAGGATAGATAATGTAAGGGAACATCACAGAATATTTTCCTTTATGAACTACTATTTGGTTTACTTTATTATTAAAATTAAATCCACAAATTAATCTGTCGTATGTAACTTTTTCATGCTATTTTTACAGCTTTTTTTTTTTTTTTAAATTGGCAACAATAAGTGCCATTCCTGTAGCAGATGTTCTCAGTTCCCACACACTTAATTATAGTTTTATAATACAATCACCTACCCTACAGAGCATTGTAATGTGCTGTTCCAAAAGCCTCTAGTACTTGCTCATTACATTCTGCTGCTACAGAGCACCAGTGATTTGAGCTGTACACCAACTCACATCCATGTCACAAGGAGGTAGGCTTCAACTTTAACAGGTACTTCACATGAGCCTGCACGAACAGCCATAATGGCACACTTTGTTTAAAAAAGTTCAGATAAAGAAATTATCATTATGGTAAATCACATTACATAACTTTTATTAACACACCAGTCTACAACTTAGAGCAATTATTCCACTGAATTGCTATTTCAAATAGATTGAAAAATGGAAAATTAATTGGAAACAAATCAAACTTTCAGCAAATTAGGCTCAGAAAAATAAATAAGTTTACTTTGTATTTTTTTCCAGATTAAAAATGATTACAAGTCATGCATGAATTTTAGCTGTTTTTAATCAATTCTGTTTTATAAAATAAGACATAATTCTTCATGTGAAAAAAAAACCAACAAAAAACAAACCCCAAACAAACCCAACAAAATAGTAGCCCAAATTTTAGAGTTGCATAGCACAAACAAACAGTAACAGAATTATGACTGCCAGCTGCACAACACATCTGTAGGTTGAGTCCATAACTCTTTCAGTTGCTTTCACTCCATAATGTATGAAAACCAAGTTTTTCAAACAAAATTCTGTAGTCTGACACCTTTCAGCTCACCTATGAGGAAACACGTGCATTTTGACAGCAAGGCATATTGAGTGTTCTAGCAGCTCCAACTCACTGAGATGCTCCCCAGTACTCCAATGCCACGGTGCTCAAGCTGAAGCAGGGCCCAGCAAACCTCGTGGCACAGTGGCTTTACAGCTACTGGTGTCAGACTATCTGCAGGAGTAATGCAGAGATCTGTAGAGACGTGAGTGAGATGATCCCGAGAGCAGCAAATGCAAAAATGTACTTTAAATTCAAGTGTACTTTAAATTCAAGACATTATATTCAAGTGAAAAGAAGATGACTAGAATAGAGAAGACAAGAGGAAAAAGACTGTGGCAAGGAAAGTTTTTTGTAATATATTGGAAAAATTTCCCAAAATCGGAAAAATTGGTTCCAAATGGAATATAAATTGATGAGTGCCTTTTAAAAACTTATGGGCTACATCTATGAAAATACAGTAGCTGTAGATCTCATTCATAAGCTGTACATCTACTTTTTATGATTTTGTGTTTAGCAGCAACATTATTTAGAATCTGTTATTTCTCAATCATTCAATTCTATAAATGAATTTTTGAACTTTACTTGCACTTATAAATACGTAAGTATTCACATGAAGCAGTCAGACAGATCTGTACAGCTATTGCACAGCAGATGGACAGAGAAGTAAGCTCTTGATCTTAAGTGAAATACAATTGCAGAACAGATCTCCTCACATAGCTTCAGTGAAAGGATCATGCCTACAGAATGTACACATTGCCCTTGAAAAGACAGCAGAGAACCTGAAGACCTCACAGTTCTCTCCAGTGAAGGCAACAAAAACTACCAAGAACATGAAATAACTCAAAGGAGGCATTCTTAAGAATAATAGATTTGTAAAATGTTTTATGATAATGTCAGAGAATTTACTGTGTATCCTGAACTTGCAGAAAGCAAACCAGTCATGATTAATCCATAAAAAATTTAAGGTGCAAAATGAAGTTTTACATAAATTGTTTTAGTGAAAAATAGTCTTCTTGTAAACAAATACTTCCCCTTCCTTATGCTAGTATTTATTTAGTGCCAGTTCAAGATGTTTTGATTTATTTACCATTCTAACAATAAAAAGTCTGCAATTTTCAAATGCTATGTTCAAAATGCAGTAGTAGATATGGCTAAGTCCTCTGTGGATATCTAATGCAAGCTATAAGCTCTGTGTTCTAAAGCTGGATTGCTCCATACTGACATCAGCTGAGTGACACCAGCATGAACAAGAAGAATGGAAGATAAGGATTTATCATTACTTCAGCAATTAATTATTAACTGGGGCTGCGGCATCCAAAAATCACTGAATTTGTTATAAACAAACCAGCAAATGCTTCTGAAACTTGAGCCAGAAGTACAGCTTTAAAAGAATGGGTATCTTCTCCTGTCCTTGGCATTCTAATTTTATACCGTGCACCCTCCTGTCACTCACAACGTCAGTGCTGGCTAACAAATACAGAGTAAGCAGCAAAAAAGACAAAAATATTTACCTGGATCATATCCTCCATCATAATTCAGTGGCTATAGAAGTAAAGCAGCTATTACTTACCCTGTTTCTAATGATTATTAGGAAAATCTCTCCTAAATATGTGTACTTGGACAAAAGCTGGCCAGTCATGTATAACAACTTTTCACTTCCATGAGCATAGAGAACTAAGTGCTGCATGCCAAATTCCTCCAAGGAAAAATTCTGCACATAGTGTAGGTACATAACACCAAAGACCTCTTTTCTGCTAAAAATGAAATAATGCTTAAACTTGATGTCCTCAGAAGTTTTGCAAAAAAATCAACCTCATTTAGGTGGTACTCACTCAACACATAAATGAGTTGAGTGAAAAGGGAGTCCTTAGTATTAAGAAAAAGCCTATTAGTATTAAGAAAAAGCCTATTAGTTTAACAAAAAGCCTATTTGAATATTAGTGACAAGAAAGTCTTACAAATGAACCATTTTCTTTAAGCTTCCCATTATTTTGTCTATTTGTCCACTAACTTCCATTCTCAGAAACAGTGTAGAATGCAAATACTTCTTGCTATTTCCACAGTTGTTATAAGCCAGTGCAGTTCAACTAAGGTCAGTGGCGCCCTTTTAAACATTATCTTAGGATCCAACCCCTTATGCACATTTACTTCTAAAATGTTTCAGATGAAAAAGCCTTGTGTGTAAACAGAAATGGCATGTTACAGAACTTCTGTCACCACTTATGACACCAAACATAGCAGAGGTTTTCTCATTCTCTAATTTAAGCCTTAAGAGGCTATGTAAATACAGACTCCTCCTACATAAGTGATCTATGAATACCCACCAAACAGCATGACTATAGTTCATGTAAACCACAATTTATAATAGCCTGTCTATGTTAAATGGAAAACAATATACGTTGTTATATTGCTATATAGTAAACGGAAGATGACAGAACAACAACTGAAGTTCTACCTGTGCCTACAGAAAGCAGATGCAGGATGTGTCTGAACACCACATTTGCCTGTGGAAGCATTGAAACAGATGCAGGCTGTTCGGTGGCTCTAAAATAATTGTTGGGTTTTGCCATTTTTGGTTTGTAAAAAATAAATTTATGAAGGACTTCACGTACAATTTTTAGACTAGCTCAATCTTCTCCCTTTACAGAAGTACTATTTCCATAATGGCAAATGTGTGTAACAACTTCCTGACCTTGCTGCATGAACACAGCCTGCTTCAAAGATGACGCATTTTTGTTTGTGCTATCTCAAAACAATGTGACATATCCTTCCTTTTTCCCCACCATAGAATTCTGCAATTAAGGAATTACAAAAGAGTAAATGAATTAATTTTTAACTGAATGCAGTGAGTCCAGTTGTAAAAGTAGGCACTTAAAACAAGCAAGAATCCTGCATTTCTCTTCTCAGTAAACTTCTGAGCTCTGAAAGCTGGATTATAGCCACTTGTTTGAAGAATCTCACCTTTGACTTTTAATACAGAAATTCATTCTTTGTAAGAGCTACATAATATCAGAATAACTAGAAATCTGTTTCTCATGTAGAGGATTTCATTTGTAAAAATACTGTTTTAGTGACATAACCGAGGCCATATGCAATTAAACAGCACTTTTGTCAAGCTGCGTTCCAAGGCATGAGAAGATGAAAATTCCTCTGTCCCACTGATCTCGATCTCTTATCTGAGAAAACTTACTACATGAGCTGATAAGCTATTTAAGAACACTGTTGCTTTTTTTCCCCAAAAAAACTCTCACATCTTTTACAAAGTTAGAGGACGCTAAGAAACATGAAACAAAGTCATTTAAAAGCAGTCCTACCTTTTCCTGTAAAAAGTCAAGCATCACAGGACTGAGTTTGTAATACATCCTCACGGCAGCAAGGTTATCGAACCATTTGATTTGTTTGCCAAAACATTAGTGTAGGTGAATAAAAAGCCAAATTGTAGTCAACAGCCACCCTCAAACACCTCTTGGCTGACTGTTTAGCAACTATACTGTTTCACACAGTTTTGCCTGCGTGACTCACATAGAGAGAGGACAGGCATTAACACTGACAGCTGAGCTGTTTTCAGACACTACTGTTGTCACTGCTCATGCAGCAGATTTCCTTGAAGTATGACAGCAGGAAACAAATATGGGTGTAGCTGGACAGGCACACAATTGTTTCGAACTTCCACTGGATGCAGAGTTACCGTGTCGTGTAGAGGTCAGTGCAGTCACAGAGTTTCTCTTGCTGAGAGGTGGTATCCCAACTGCTTATTTGATTCATCCTTACAGCTCCTGTCACTGTTTTCAGGCAGACACAGAAAGTATTTAACACCAGAGACAGGCTGGCAGTAGCATTATGAAAGACATTCTCTCTGCTTTGCTTTTGAAGAGACTTTTAAATAGGTGTATAAGAGGAGCCTTGAAAATTCTTCTCAGGGGATAAAAAGAGGTAATTCTGTAATGTGAGCTAACTTTCAGTAGTCACAAGGGACAACGCGGTGCATCCACTAACAAAATCCTCTCTGTATTAGTTTAGACTGCTGAGGCTTCTGCTAAGCAAATTATCCACAAAGGATCTCAGAGAAAATTAACCACATTGTTTTAGGGTACTTGGACTCCTTTATCAAAGTCAGAACAAGGAATTGCTGTGACCTTTGACAGAACCTGTCATTTTATCATATATACAAAACAAAGAAGGGCAGGAGAAAATGCATGCCAGAAATTGTACTGAAACGTCTGAAATTTTATATACTTTTTGATTCCCAAAGCCAGGTTACTACTCTTGCAAGTTTGGCTCCTTATTCAAAAATAAACATTCTTTGCAACTAAGTGCAGCTGATTTTTTTCACTGGTCATGAGGCACCTTGGCAGTTGCACCAAATGCAACTTAAATCTCACTGAGGCCATCAGACAGAGGGAAATAGCTGCAGAAGGGAAGAGGATTCCCCCAAATACTGAAGGAATTGATCTCATAAAGTTTTCTACACCGGGGATGAACAGCTCAATGCAGCACACAGACTGTGCAACTCCACAGAACAGGATCTGGGAATTGTACTGGACTTCAAGCAGCACACCTCAACAACAGTAAAGGCAAACTGTAGAGGGATGGTGTTAGTTAGCAAGAGCATCACCAGCAGGTCAAGAGAAGTGATCACTTTGCTCACATTGTAGAAATATGCTACAGTGTTTCACCTTTCTTTCAAGGCATGGAATCCAACCAATCTGAGATTATTAATTTTGCAAAGTTAAACTCATTGAACTACAGAAGTAAAATACCTTTACTACTGTTACTTCAATTTTAGATGCTCATCAAGTATATCTCTAT